CTAATTGGTTCAAGATGTGGATCCCTCGAATCTCTGACCTTTCCTCCAGGAAACCCTGCCACCTTTCGTTCCCCAATGTCCAGAGTCTTCTTTATGATGCTGGGCCATGGATCCTATCGACATGTTGTTTAGAGCTAGGTGGTTGCCGGCTGCCGTTCCATGGTTCACACAGTGCTGTCTTTTCATATTTCTCCGACAGGTGCCGCTGTGTTCCCAACAGTGCTGTCCCTCTGATCCTCAAGACCTCGCCAAATCCCGTCTTTTCTGTGCTCTCTTCAGGAGGGGACTGTCAAAGAATCTGCTCCCCGAGACCTCGACTTCCTAGAACGTGGATTATAATGCATATGCGTGTATGGAAAGGGAAGGCTGTGGTAGTTAGCAGGCACTCTGCACATTTCCAGGGGCCAAGGGAATTCTGCCAGAGTGCCTCTGTCCCTGTTTTCCTTGCCAGTCCTTGTAGATCCCAAAAATCCTACATAACTAGGGACAAGAGAGTGTGTACAGCAGTACCCTTTGGTAACCACATGGGGGCATGGTTACACAGAAAGAGCTGTTCTCGTGGTTTGAATGCTGAACATACACACTCCTCGAGGGCACTTAACGCCAGACTATTCTCACATGCGTTTTGTATAAAAGGGGTGAGTGAAGCCAGATCTGTGACTTGCTCCGATCCATCCTTTCTGTGTCCATTGATGCCATTAGCAGAGCTGAACTGGATGAGCTTGCACCTGTTTTATCTTCTGGCTCGGAACTGTTCCTGAAACAACGTAGATCTGGACTCCACTGCCGTGGGACTTCCGTGGCTTTTAAACCGTTTTGTATTTTGTCCGTGAATTGTGGTCAAGGCGTCTACGAAATGTAATCAAGCTGTAAAAACACTGCCAGTGCTTCGGATTCTCCTTTGTAGTCCTGCCTTTCCTTTGCTTGCCTGTCCTGTTTGCTTTCTTCTTTTTTTTCATTTTGAATTGCAGTCATCCCTGGTCCCCCTGCAAATATGATGTCATTAATGTGTATCTACAAAGCCAGGCTGTACAACACTTCCAGCTTCAGAACTCTGCCCCAAACCTTGTGTCAAGCAAGCCTTGATGACCAGGGAGTGCACTGTGTGTGTGTGTGTGTGTGTGTGTGTGTGTGTGAGAGAGAGAGAGAGAGAGAGAGAGAGAGAGAGTGTTAGTTTGTGGCAGAATTGAGAATGATTTTAAAGGGCATAATATCAAACAGAAAGAGGAGAATATATTGGGATACTGATGTAGAGAGGAAATGAATGGCGAAAAGGTAGATGGCAGCTAAAGTTGGATTCATCTGTGAAAAAGGCAGGCCTTCTGTATGGGATGCTGTGGAGCCAATCATGGTTTAGGATGTGCACTTGCCCCTAAGAGAAGGGCTCAGGAGCAATGAGATATCAAAAGCAGAGCAGCTAGAGACATTAAGAGTGTTGGTTTTGGGTGGGGAACTTTTTTTAGCCAGTGGGCCGGATCTTTTTACCTCCCTTCTCAGTAGGAGTGGATAGCTGTGAATGGGATATTACATACTTTTAGCTCCACCCACTCTTTGCACCCTCCCCTGAATGTTACCCTCGATGAAATGTCGTCCTAAGGCTGACAATCGCCACTTTTAATAAAATGACTTGCTTTCTCCTGCGACTGATTCTTCTAAGGGATGGGGTTACGTTGCGAGACCTGCACTTACCTGTTCATTGAACACTCGCCCTGCATTTTTCCATGACAGCAGGCTCCTCATGAGTCACCTTCCAGGAAATGGTAGGAGCCTAAGAGCTGGCTCACACACCCATTGTCCTCTCAATCATAATGCACTTCTTCCAGACAGATAAGTGCCCAGTTAAGTGACAGCCTTAAGGAATATCTGTCTTGACAGCATTTTCTCTCCTGCCTAATTTGTTCTTATGGATTAGCAACACGCCAGGATCCCAGGACCCCATTGGCCAGTAACAAATCTGTCAGTGGCACCAAACCCCAATATTCAGGTTTGATTGGTCAAGAGACCCAAAGGAAAGAAAAAGCATTGAAAATACATTTTTTTTGGGGGGGGGGAAGACTTTTCTTATGAGGGATAGTGCCCAATCCGAGGAAAATGCTGCCTGCCGTATTTCATCTAAAGATTTGCATAGATCACAGAATTTATTTTCCTATTGTTGAATTGGATGAATCCCAAGCCAGAATTAAGATTGCCAGAAGAAATAACAACCTCAGATACGCAGATGACGCAACCTTGATGGCAGAAAGTGAGGAGGAATTAAAGAACCTTTTAATGAGGGTGAAAGAGGAGAGCGCAAAATATGGTTTGAAGCTCAACATCAAAAAAACGAAGATCATGGCCACTGGGCCCATCACCTCCTGGCAAATAGAAGGGGAAGAAATGGAGGCAGTGAGAGATTTGACTTTCTTGGGCTCCATGATCACTGCAGATGGTGACAGCAGTCACGAAATTAAAAGACGCCTGCTTCTTGGGAGAAAAGCTGTGACAAACCTAGACAACATCTTAAAAAGCAGAGACATCACCTTGCCAACAAAGGTCTGTATAGTTAAAGCTATGGTTTTCCCAGTAGTGATGTATGGAAGTGAGAGCTGGACCATAAAGAAGGCTGATCGCCGAAGAATGGATGCTTTTGAATTATGGTGCTGGAAGGACAGAGCGTGAAGCTGAGGCTCCAATACTTTGGCTACCTCATGAGAATAGAAGACTCCCTGGAAAAGACCCTGATGTTGGGAAAGTTGGAGGGCACAAGGAGAAGGGGACGACAGAGGACAAGATGGTTGGACAGTGTTCGCGAAGCTACCAGCATGAGTTTGACCAAACTGCGGGAGGCAGTGGAAGACAGGAGTGCCTGGCATGCTCTGGTCCATGGGGTCACGAAGAGTCGGACACGACTAAACGACTAAACAACAATTGTTGAATTTGGAGCGGTTAGCTTCAGAATGTACTTAAAATGAGCGGACAGTGAGCCGGTCCCATAGGCAGCTATTACACCAAGACTCACTTTTGTGGGCTGACCTCAGGTCAAGGTTTGTTGCTGGGTGCCTAGCTGTTTTATGCTCTTGAATTTTAAAACTTTGTGCTCCATTCTTCTCTTGGATGCTTATATTTTTGAATACTTACTGCTTTGTTGCGTCTTGAGCAACATTTATATCCTGAGTGGAATATAAGTGGAAATTGCCAAGATACCAGACAAAACCCCTATTGAAGGAGAATTACATGAAGATGGTGTACAGGTGGTACACAACACCAGTGCAGTTAGGGAAAATGTACAAAACTAGTTCAAATATACAGTGGTGCCTCGCTAGACGAAATTAATTCGTTCTGCGAGTTTTTTCGTCTTGCGAATTTTTCGTCTTGCGAAGCACGGTTTCAAAAGAAGTTTTGGAAAAGCTTCAAAAATCACCAACGTCTTCAAAAACCTCAAAAAAGGCTACCACACTGCGTGCAACTGCACCTCTTCAAGCAATGCACCCTGGGTATTAACGGTTTTAAGAAAAAGGAAACAAACTTGCAAGACGTTTTCATCTTCCAAAGCAAGCCCATAGGGAAATTCGTCTTGCAAAGCAACTCAAAAAACCAAAAACCCTTTCGTCTTGCGAGTTTTTCGTCTTGCGAGGCATTCGTCTTGCGAGGTACCACTGTATGTTGGAAGTGTAAGGAAAAGGAGAGGACATTTTATCATATGTGGTGGGATTGTAAGGTAATTAAAAATTTTTGGGAAATGATACACAACGAATTGAAGAAAATGTTCCATTTAACATTTGTTAAAAAACCTGAAGCATTTTTATTAGGGATTGTAGGGAAAGATCTGCCAAAAAAGCTGAAAAACATCTTCATGTATGCGACAACGGCCACGAGAGTTCTGGTAGCACAAGGATGGAAGACTGAAGAAAAATTGATGGACTATGCAGAACTGGAAAAACTGACATACAAGCTATGGGACAAGGATAACTGTGACTTTAAAGATGAATGGGAACCCTTTACAAAGTATTTGAAGACGCAACAAAGCGAACTGGACTTCTTGGCTGGCTTTGAATAAACATTCACAAACTTTTTATTGATAGTAATCAGCTAAATAGTTTGAGGATTTATACAACTGTGTAACATGGAGAAAACAGCATTTTTAGAGAAATCAAAGACTGGAACTGAGGGAAGTTGGGTGGGTGGGGGTTCTGTGGGGGGAGGGAGGGGGAGGGAGGAAAAATGGGGGGGAACCAAGGATGATGTTTCTGGATAATATGTTTTGTTTTAATTTTGAACAAATGTTATTTAAAAAAAGAAAGAAATCAGACAAAACCATACCATAGGCCTTTGAACCCGTCAGTCACTCCTGAGCTTCAGTTTACAAGTAATAATTGCGGAAGTAGCTGATATAATGGCAGTATAGATGGCCTTTATGTATGAAGAAGGTGAGTTGAAACTAAATGAAGTAATGGGGTCCATTTAATTCTATTGGCTGCGGTTATGCATAGGTTTGCATTGGAGAGAAATTGAGTTTTTATGGAGGAATTGCTAAGGAGTGGACCTGCGAGTACCATTGTTAAGTGTAGGTGATCACTTTCAATATTGTGGCCCACTTCAAACTCCATTACAAACTTACGTGCAAATCGTGAGATTGCGCTATAATCTATGGCACTGCCTTCTTAAATTGTGGTGCCCAGAACTGGTCACAGTACAGTGGTACCTCGGGTTACATACGCTTCAGGTTACATACACTTCAGGTTTCAGACTCCGCTAACCCAGAAATAGTGCTTCAGGTTAAGAACTTTGCTTCAGGATGAGAACAGAAATCATGCTCCGGCAATGCGGCGGCAGCGGGAGGCCCCATTAGCTAAAGTGGTGCTTCAGGTTAAAAACAGTTTCAGGTTAAGAACGGACCTCTGGAACGAATTAAGTACTTAACCCGAGGTACCACTGTATTCCAGGAGCGGTCTGATCAGGACACAATAGACAGGTACTATTATTTCCCTTGATCTGGACTCTATACTTCTGTTGATGCAGCCTAAAATAGCATAGCTATTTGACAGAGCTTCCCTGCGTTGAGTAAGTTCTTGGATCTGGTGGCTTTTGCAGGGCTTTCGAGCCCTTTGAAAATTTGGGGATCTGGTGCCGCCCAACTTGGGATCCCTCTGTAATCGTTTAGCTCCTCCCAACCCTGTATCCTAAACAGTTAACGTACCTTCTAGGTTCCTGCCTGAACATTTCCTCCCTTCCATCCTCCTTAATTGGCCATGCTCCCTGCCAAGCCATTGGCAGGATTCCCCCCCCCCTTTATTTCTTTTCTTTTTGCTGAGGGAGCCCAGATTGCGGTCTGTCATCTTGATTGATCCCCTCCTTCTCCAGCTCAGGTCAGTATATCAAGTGTTCGCCAAGGGGGGGTTTCTGCAAGAAATGGCCTAGTGACGCTGGCTGCCACTTCTGAAGAGCAAGAGGACCTGACGGATCTCCAGAGGGACGAAGAGAGAGGAGAATATACATTTCTAGTCTTGTGCGTTGGGAGTTCTCTCCAGTAAAAACCTTCGGCATGATTGCTACCCATCAGAACATGACAACCGCTCTGGTGAGTTCTGCCTGTAGGTTCAGCTAGTCAGTTTGCCCTGAAACAGTGTGTTTTGTGTGTGTGTGTGTGTGTGTGTGTGTGTGTGTGTGTGAGAGAGAGAGAGAGAGAGAGAGAGAGAGAGAGAGAGAAGAGAGAGTTGGATTAGACAGACTTAGGGCTTCTTTCGCACTGGTTCGCCCCAGTATTGAAACTTGGGAAAGTATTTTTTTGGTAGAAAACCCCAAAACCCGTGGGCCTAATTTAGTTGAAAGCTGATTTCATTACATGTGCTGTTTTGCACATTGCACTTTGCGGGTTAGATCCAAACTGTTAACATTAGTTTTGCATAGTGGGTCAGACGTGCTTTCTCCTTCTATACGAGGCTTTTACAGGCGCTAAAAACCTCCTACGCACTTTGGCAGGGGGTGGGATGGAGAAGGGAAATGCCTGACTAAAAACATCCATTATTGGGGAGTTTATTTGATATTTATATTTTTAAAAGCATTCCAGAATGTTTGTCCTGGCTGTATCGAGGTGATTCTACATTGCAGTTCACAATGTGTGATACTGCTATGGTTGGGCAGTAACCAAAACAAATTATAAACTGAATGGATGTCTAATGTTTCATCTGTTTGGTATTATGAGACCTGTTAGATGCTCTGCAGAATTGCTGGTGTTTCCCTCACTCATCTATACAGGTATCTCCCTCCCCCCCTTTCCTTTTTTTCTATTCAAGGCATCATTTAAAGGGGTACATTTAACACTGAGAATTCTAGATAAGGGGCAGCTGTTCTCTCTTTGCTTCAGGACTTAGGATGCTTTCTAGTGCGGAATACTTGAGCAGTTCTGAGGTGACTATACGGTCTGCAGAATGAAGTTATAAGACTAAGAATCCTGGACTACATTGCAGGACGTGTCTTATGTTTTTGAACGCTTTCCCACCTTTAAATCAACAACAAACCTCTCAACAGGCTATAAACTAGGAAATTGGAGAGAGAGAGAGAGAGGTTTTGCGTAACCATTTCCACGGTGTGTGAATTTACTACATGTAGGAGCAGCTAACCCAGGTAGGGTGACTGAAGAGTAATTTCATGCACACAAGGCTGTCAAGTAACAGTGAAAGAGGAGAAGAATTAGCCCAGGTTATATGGCACAGGCACCACTAAATTGTGCCCATGCAATGCCTAAAAGTGACCAGTGTGGACCCATGACATCACTGGCTTGAATTTATCTTATTGACCATTTCCCTGACACCTAACTCCTTGTGGTGCTACCACAAATGGGGATTCTCTCACCAGCGACATATGCCCGCCAATATTAACTGAAGTCCTATTAGTTGTCTTGAGAATATGCAGAGTGTTCCTCTACTGGGGTTATGTGGGGCAGGGGCAATGAACCAGTTCAGATATGCCGTGGGATCCTGCTCTTGGCAGTAGTTGGCAGATGTGATAGAGGCGCCCAGGCTGCTTCAGTGGAATCGCACCCACAACCTGGAGCTGCCCTCATCCAGTACAGTGGTACCTCAGGTTAAGTACTTAATTCGTTCCGGAGGTCCATTCTTAACCTGAAACTGTTCTTAACCTGAAGCACCACTTTAGCTAATGGGGCCTCCCGCTGCTGCGCGATTTCTGTTCTCAACCTGAAGCAAAGTTCTTAACCCGAGGTACTATTTCTGGGTTAGCGGAGTCTGTAACCTGAAGCGTATGTAACCCGAGGTACCACTGTACTTAGATTCTGTCCTGCAGTGGTGGAGAACTTTGTACCCTCCAGCTGTGGCTGGACTTCAGCTCCCATCAGCCCCAGGCAGCATTGCCAATAACCAGGGGTGATGGGGGGTTGTATGACCGCTAGAGGACCACAACATCTGGAGGGCCACAGGTTCATTGTCCCTGCTTTATAGTGAAACCAGCTAATTCTAGGATTTTCCAATACAGTGGTTGCTGTTGTTTAGTCGTTTAGTCGTGTCCGACTCTTCATGACCCCCGGACCAGAGAACGCCAGGCACTCCTGTCTTCCACTGCCTCCCGCAGTTTGGTCAAACTCATGCTGGTAGCTTCGAGAACACTGTCCAACCATCTCGTCCTCCGTCGTCCCCTTCTCCTTGGGCCCTCCATCTTTCCCAACATCAGGGTCTTTTCCAGGGAGTCTTCTCTTCTCATGAGGTGGCCAAAGTATTGGAGTCTCAGCTTCAGGATCTGTCCTTCCAGTGAGCACTCAGGGCTGATTTCCTTAAGAATGGATCGGTTGGAGTCTCCTCCAGACCATAATTCAAAAGCATCAATGATCACCCTTCTTTATGGTCCAGCTCTCACTTCCATACATCACTACTGGGAAAACCATAGCTTTTACTATACGGACTTTTGTTGGCAAGATGATGTCTCTACTTTTTAAGATGCTGTCTAGGTTTGTCATTGCTTTTCTCCCAAGAAATTTCTGGGTTAGCGGAGTCTGTAACCTGAAGCGTATGTAACCTGAGGTACCACTGTACAAGGATGAGGTCAGGAGCATCCTTTATAGCAGTTGTGGGAGAATTTTGTGCCTCCAGATGTTGCTGAGATACAACTCTTATCAGCCCCAGCAGGTATGGCCAATGGCCAGGGATGATGGAAATTGTAGTCCAGTAACATCTGAAGGACCAAAAGTTCCCCACACCTCCTTTGTAGGAAAAGCTCGTTCCTTGATCTGCCTTAGACTGGAAACCCAGTTGCCCAGGGTGGGACAGGTTTGAATGTGGGGAATTTTAAACGCAACAGCTGCCCACAAAGTCTCTGTTGTGGGGAACATCAATCGTTGCTCTCAAGAGAGCTGTAGGGCCACCATTGCAGCATGGGGAGCCAAACTGTGGCTTCGAAGTCCAAATGTTTCAGGAGCAAAGATGTGCTTTGGGTGGGCCATGAACTCTTCCTGCCAGGCTCTGATCCAAGCTGCTTTGGCAGCTCTCTGAAGTGATCTCTTAATTAAGACTGAAAATACCCGCAAGGGGGGAAAGAACAGAAATGGTGCCAGGCAATTAGTTTAAAAGCCCTGTGGGTTTATAGATCAATAGGAGAGCTAGCCTCTATCAGCCTTTTTTTTTTTTTAATTAGCACCTCCTGGTTTCTATAGGGGAAGCAAAAAGTAATAAATGACCAGTCTAGAATCCTATCTCAGCCTGAGGAATATCTTTGTGAAGAAGAGCGGACTGCCTTAGGCCATACAACCTGTATTCACAGAACTCAGTGGGATATTTTTTTTACGAAGAGGCATCATGGATATACAGTGGTACCTCGGGTTAAGTACTTAATTCGTTCCGGAGGTCTGTTCTTAACCTGAAACTGTTCTTAACCTGAAGCACCACTTTAGCTAATGAAGCCTCCTGCTGCTGCCGCGCCGCCAGAGCCCGATTTCTGTTCTTATCTTGAAGGAAAGTTCTTAACCTGAAGCACTATTTCTGGGTTAGCGGAGTGTGTAACCTGAAGCGAATGTAACCCGAAGCATATGTAACCCAAGGTACCACTGTAGATGACTTCTCCATTAGGCCACACAGCCACAGTTGCCATGATCGCAAACCTGGAGTCTTGCATATCAATGGTGCTGTTTTTTTGAGTATACGGGGTGTTAGGGGAGGGGCAGTACTTCTGGTGCGGACATGTCATGTCTGAGGTAGTATGTCCATCTTTGGCCCCTCTACCCTGCACTCAGCTCTCACCTGTGGCTCCTAGAAGCTTTCAGCATGCAACATCAGCCACACCCTGGCTTCAGCTAGGAATCCTTTTGACTCCACCGGAGGGAGCAAAGCCAGGTTACTCCATGAATCCAGTTTACACCTAGGAATCTGGTCTTTTAAACTCCACTGGAAGAAACCAGGACAGCATGCTCCTACCCTCCATACATTACTGGACTTCCAAGTCTCTAACGTCATATCAGCCCCAATGGTCAGCGATGATGGAGGCTGGACTCTTAAAATATCTGAAGGCCACCTTGTTGGTTTGGGCACCATGGTTTATAAGCGTACCATGGTTCATAAGCTTACCATGGTTCATAAGCGTACCATGGTTTATGCTATCTGGCCATCTCACAATCAATGGTTTTTGGAGCAGGTACGGTCTTATAACTCATGGGAGGAAATAGATAGCCCTCTTCCGCTTGGTTTAACTTGAGACGAGTTAAACACTCATAGCTAAACTTGGAATGAAGCAAGCTGGTTTGCACTAACCGAGGATCTTTTCTCTCCCTCCTCACACAGAACATGGGGTTCAGCAGCTCCCCGCCTCGCAACTGGAAGGGAATTGGGATCGCAATGTTGGTAGTGGCGATGCTGGCGTCGGTCATCATTGTGGCTATCCTGATGCTCACTCCAGGTGATACCAGCAGGGCAGAGTCCTTTCATGGACAGTAGCTTAGTTAGGGTTGCCTTACGCCCAGATTTTCTTGGGCACATCCGGGATGCCAGTGATGGAATTAGTGTCTGGGGTGAAATCAGCAAACTTCTTGCAAAAAAAGCTAAGCATAACTTTTTTTTGTGTCCAGATTTTTACTTCTTGAAATATGGCAACCCTAAGCGTAGTGGAGGGGACGCGGGTGGTGCTGTGGGTTAAACCACAGAGCCAAGGACTTGCCAATCAGAAGGTCGGCGGTTTGAATCCCCGTGACAGGGTGAGCTCCTGTTGCTCGGTCCCTGCTCCTGCCAACCTAGCAATTCAAAAGCACGTCAAAGTGCAAGTAGATAAATAGGTACTGCTCCGGCGGGAAGGTAAACGGCGTTTCCGTGCACTGCTCTGGTTAGCCAGAAGCAACTTAGTCATGCTGGCCACATGACCCGGAAGCTGTATGCCACATGATCTGGAAGCTGGAAACTCCCTCGGCCAATAAAGCAAGATGAGCGCCACAACCCCAGAGTCGGTCACGACTGGACCTAATGGTCAGGGCTCCCTTTACCTTTAAGCGTAGTGGAAACTTTTGACACATTCCTGGTCCTCCGGGGGTTAAAAAGCATAACTGGGGTATTTTGTTTTTTAAAAACGAGAAGCATTAAAAGGGAAAACAGCTGCCAGCCACCTGTGTATGTAATCTGAATAAACTGGTGCAATGCAAGTCGAATTAGTTACTGCAGATCCTTTGCATAATGGGCTATTAGTGCAGAAGTACAAGACTTCATTGAGTATACCCTTTGGAGACTCAGAGGTGTACATAAAAGCAGGGGCCAGCTCTCTTCCTGGTGAGCCCAGTTTCCTTTCCTTTTACTCTTCCAAGATGCACAGTCCTGCCTCCATGGCAATGGCGATCTCTTTGCTGATTTGCACCCACTCACTCTGCTTTTCTGCTTGGCTGTCTCAAGTGTGTTGGCTATAAAAGTCTGGGAGCCAGGTGGGCAGTGAGCACATTGCCCGGCACCTGTAGCTAAGGTCACGGAAAAATCTGGATCCGTTCACATTTGAAGGCCAGCCTACCCAATCTGTGCTTTGTGAAATAGTACGCAGACTGAAACACAGCCGCCCTTCAAAATCTGTGCTTCTCTGAAGTTGGCAAGCCATTTCTCCAGCCAAGTACCGTAACCGTATTTTTCGCTCTATAGGACGCACTGGACCATAGGAGGGGGAGAACAGGGGGGAAAAATTCTCCCCCTCTCTGCTCAGCGCCCCTTCAGCGAAGCGACAGGAGAAATGGAGAGGGAAAACTGTGCAGCGCCTCTCCAGCGAAGCGAAGCCTGGAGAACAAGAGGGATCGGTATGCACCGAACCCTCTCGCTCTCCAGGCTTCAGACGGCTACCTGCAAGCCTTCGGAGTGCAATGAGAACTCCTGCTGCGCTCCAAAGACTTGCAGATAGCTGCCTGAAGCCCCCGGAGCGCAGCGGGAGTTCCCGCTGCGCTCCGGGGGCTTCAGGCAGCTTCAGCGAAAGCAACGTGAAGCCTCCAGAGCACTTCGGAGGCTTTGCATTGCTATCACTGAAGCCAACGAGCCTGCATTCGCTCCATCGGACGCACACACATTTCCCCTTAATTTTTGGAGGGGGAAAAGTGCGTCCTATAGAGCGAAAAATACGGTAAATCTGTAATGCATATGGCTAGGAGGATAAAGTGTACGACCCATTGGGGCAGCCCAGTCAGATTGGCAGGGTACAAATAATAAAATAATAATAATTATGTATCTGTGAAAGTTGCGTACTGAAGTGCATTATATTAGGGAAAATTCAAACATTAGGGGAAATGGGTATATGAGGCAAAATTGCAAGTAAAAATGGCCAAATTAGGAGAAATCTGCACTAAAATGCTGGTGAAACTCCCCGAGGACTTTTTAAAAATATTGCCAGGTGTGGAAATGTGGAGAGCTCAATGGAAGACTGGAAAAATTAGAAACGGAAATGGACAGATTTGACTGTCCCTGCACAGTTCCACTTTTTGCCTTCCTCGAATGTTTAATATGCATGCCAAAGCCCTTATAAAAGGCCTCCGGGTCTTGAGGAATCGGTGGCTCTCTTGCTGTTGTTGACCTCCAGTTCCCACCTGCCCCAGCCAGCAGGCTCAGCGGTCAGGAATGAAGGGAGTTGTAGTCCAACCACACCTGAAGAGCCACAGGTTTCCTGTCTGTGCTCTAGATTGCCCAGAACACACAGTAGTGTGTAAATAATAATAATGATGATGATGATGATGATGATGATGATGACACTGCACACTGCTAGCCAGCTGTTCACCCTTGTCTTTCCATATCTAGACGACCCCCCAATTGGCTTCCGCACTCCTCTGACTCTTGATGACCTGGAGAGTGATGATTTCCAACTCCACCAACCCCAGCTACATTGGGTGACAGGTGAGTTGTTTTCCTCTGCTGTGTGCTAGAACGTGGACATGTCAATTTGTTGTTGTTTAGTCGTTTAGTTGTGTCCGACTCTTCGTGACCCCATGGACCAGAGCATGCCAGGCACTCCTGTCTTCCACTGCCTCCCGCAGTTTGGTCAAACTCATGCTGGTAGCTTCAAGAACACTATCCAACCATCTCGTCCTCTGTCGTCCCCTTCTCCTTGTGCCCTCAATCTTTCCCAACATCAGGGTCTTTTCCAGGGAGTCTTCTCTTCTCATGAGGTGGCCAAAGTATTGGAGCCTCAGCTTCAGGATCTGTCCTTCCAGTGAGCACTCAGGGCTGATTTCCTTCAGAATTGATAGGTTTGTTCTTCTTGCAGTCCATGGGACTCTCAAGAGTCTCCTCCAGCACCATAATTCAAAAGCATCAATTCTTCGGCGATCAGCCTTCTTTATGGTCCAGCTCTCACTTCCATACATGTCAATAAGGTGTTCTTATTCAAGCCAAATTGTTTGGGCTAAAGGCTGCCGAGTGGAATTTAGTGGTTTTACGATGAACCAATGTCTTTTATGAACCAACAGTTTGGCCTTAAAAATGCCCCAAACCTCTTCTACGGTTCCATAGGGCAGTGGACATTCAATAACATGGCAATATGTAACCTGGGGACATGGGCAGGGCTGTATCTTAGCAGTAGAGCATCTGCTTAGCATGTGGAAGATCTCAGGTTCAATTCTTGGCTACTTAAAACCCTGCCGAAACCATGGAGAATGTCTGCCAGACCGTGTACACCACTGGTGGGGAATCTATGGACCTCTAAATGTTGCTGGACTACAGCTCCCAAAATCCTCTGCCAGGGGTTGCAGCCCAGAAACAACTGGAAGCCTATAGGTTCCCCATGTCTGACATAGGCAAGATTGAGCTAGACACTCAAATGGCCTGATTTTGTATAAGAAAGGTTCTTATGGAAGTTTGTGTTCCCTTCTGACCTTCTCCTTGGGGAAACCCTGACAAACTTCACAGGAAGTCCAGCGTATTCAAAAACAGTTTTGCTAGAGAATCGCAAGATAAATATTTTTTTACATGTCAACAAATGCCCTGATCATGACTCCATGACTCAATCCCTCCTGAAACATCGTCACCAGGGACGGAGGTGTATTGAATGAGAAATATGCTGATTGGCTACGCAGGCACAAATTGAACCATTTTACAAGATCAATTTGGCACATCCAGATCCAATGAAAACCTTACCCTTCAGTCCATTTTAAATGTTCCCGAGTACTTGCAGCTCCTTAGATTATTTAACATACTGCTACAAAAGTTATGTGCCTCCTTGGCAAGAGCCCATGGGGTTCCAGGCACTCACCCGGGTTCTGTGGTCCTTTGGAGAATTGAGACATGATGGAGACTGTCGAAGCTTTATCCACCTATTTATACCTTCAGTCTGCATGGAGGGAGTCCAGATCTTACAGCATGGTCATTTCAAGAGGGGTTTGTCCCTCACAGCAGTGCAGCCAGCCTTCAGCCAGCCTGCCCAAGATGGATCCAAGTATTTCTTCTTCCTCCTTGTTCCCAGAACACCCTGCTAAAAACTCTCTTTTCCTGTCACCTCACATCCAGTTACCCGGGCAGCCTTCCAAACCCCTAGGACAAGGGCGGAGGACAGTTCTCAATGCCCCTCAATGGCCCTGTATTGTTTCTTAATGAGCCTAGCTTGACCAGGTCGTTTTTTGCATAGGCTAGTTCATGAATTCCTCTACAGCTTGTATTTCTCCCTTCACATCCCAAATAACTAAAATCCTACCATTTAGAAATTTATAGGGTTTAGAGGGATCCCCCCCCCCCGAAACCTATAATGGTATGGTCCTAATTTCAGGGATCAAATTAGATGTGAGATTATTTTATTTATTTGTATTTGTTTTATTTTCCCGCCTTGCCCCACCATAGAACCCAAGGGGTTCCCAACAGCAGCTGTAGGGAATCCTGAGTAGCTTGGGGACCCTGGAAGGTGGGTGGGGAGAAGTTTTCTTCTCCCTGTTGCAGTCTTGAAACAAATATCCTCTCTGAAGCTGTCGTTTGTATTTCAAGGGAAGTGTCCTTTGGCACCGGTGGGAGTTTCCCCTCAACTGCAAATAACACCTTCAGAGAAGAGACTTGTTGGGAGTGTGGCAGGGGGAAATAAGAATTAAATTTCTCTTTATCACCCGCCACACTTTTGAGGCTGCTCTGGCCTGACTGCTGTTTACAAAAGAAGGCACACATGACTGTGATGTAAACAAAATCTGCTTCCTTTCCCTTATGGGGTATCCAAGAGCCCCTATAGAGTCCTTAAGTGGGTTCCCTATCGGTAGGAGAAAATAACAGAGGCCAATCAGAGAATATTGAGAAGCAAAGCGGCTAGTAAGCCTGATCTTTATTAAACTGTTGCAACAGGGTCCCAACTCACCACATGAAGGAGGGAGGAGGAACCCAGAACAATTGGTGCGCATATAGACTTTTGAAATTGCCCACCTTGTAGCTCAAGACCACCACCAAAAACATCATACATAAATCATAGGAGGAGGCAGCCTACAACAGAAATCCTGTCTGCCAGGATACCTGACAATGGCCAGTGATTGCTTGCTTGGGCAGCCTGGCCATTACTTTGTGATGGTAAATACTTTAATTCTGGAATCCAGGTCACAGGCTCACCCTATTCAGACACAAAGATGCCCTTTAAGACAGGTAAGCAAAAGACGATGGAGAGGCTTTCCCATTTCCTTCCTCCTCACAGAGAAACAATAGAGGTCAATTTGGGAGAGTCAAAATGGCTTCAGGATTGTTCTCCTGTACTATTTCAGACACGTGGTTTACATACTTATGTAGGTGTTTGCCTTGTAAATTTATGAATATTTAATTTATATATCTGAGACCTTAAATTCTTATAACAACGGCATCCATGCAATTAATGTGGTGTGTAGTTTAGTCCTCAGATACCACAGCAACACTTACCGTATTTTTCGTCCCATAGGACGCACCTAGTTTTTTGGGGGGGAAATAAAGGAAAAAATTTTTTTATTTATTTCCCCCCCAAAAGCAGGTCGGGGAAACCGAACCAGGTCGAGGAACAGCGGGATGGCGGCGCTGCGCCTCCCTGCTGTCCCCCGAGCTTGTGGGGCTGACCGATGTCTGCCCGGCGTGACCTCCCGCAGGGCTGCCTAGGCTGCGGATGTTTTCCCGAAGCGCCAGGCGCTCTGCTTTCAGGGCGCCCGACGCTCCGGGAACCAGGCTGCTATCTGCAGCCTAGACAGCCCTGCGGGAACTCCCGCAGGGCTGCCTAGGCTGCGGATGTCTTCCTGAAGCCTGGAGAGCGAGAGGGGTCGGTGCGCACCGACCCCTCTCGCTCTCCAAGCTTCAGCGAAAGCCTGCATTCGCCCCATAGGACGCACCCAGATTTCCCCTTCATTTTTGGAGGGGAAAGAGTGCGTCCTATAGGGCGAAAAATACAGTATTTTTAAATGTCCTAAAGTCTGGATTCAACATCTAGCTGTGGGAAAGGGGTTAAAATCTAGTGGATGAAGCAAAGGTGAATTCTGCAATGGAGGGCTTCTTGAATGGGGAAGTTTAACTAGAGTTGGTCTGGAAAGCAAACCCCCTAGTTTCTTTTATTTTCTCAGCCGCAGGAAGTTTCCTTCCCTTTCCTGTGCTTCTGTAGAAGAAGCCAACTTCTGTGTATTACATTTATCACTATTTTTGCATTTGTTAGTTGTTCTATACACACACCGCTAAGTTGTGGGTGGACATATCAGACGACACAGCGATTCTTCATACAGCTCTTGTTTATTCACAGGCCAGGACAGAACTGAACTGAAGGGTTCAGTCAGCCTGCTTATATAGAGCTCCACTACAACGCAACAGTAACCTCTTTCTGTAACTATCCAATCACTGAACGTCACTTTCGATCCCTTATTTGCATAACTATCTACAGCATCCCCCTGGTGGCCCAGGGTGAGAACTTCAGTACATAACACACACAAAAACCTCTCGAAGTGTAAAATGAGTGTGGCGTGTAAGCAGCCAATGTCAGAAACCCACCGCTAGTTGAGAAGTTTATTTGGGCACCCTGCTTGCTTGTTTTTTCTTTGCCCAGATGATGAGTTGGTGGAGCTCAGCGATACAGGGACCGTGATGAAGTGGCACATTGGCCAAAAGAACAGCACCCTCTTGGTGGAGGACAGAGATTTGGTAAGAACCGTGGCTTGCAATCCACTGCTGATCACAGAAGCTTAGGAAAAACTTGAAGATCCTTTGGAGCCAAACTATGGGTTGTATCCAACGTAGCACTAAGTTAAAGTCATTTAGCGGAATCCTTTTTTTCTGCCGGCGGAATGTTTTGTGTCAGTGGAAGCAGGTTGCTGGTGATTTTCTTGCACAATAGATTGTGCAATCTGTTGCGTTGGATTTCTCCTTGCTCAACTCATCCACTCGCACAAAAGACCTTGTACTAGCAGGCAGAGAAGGTTGGATATGTCAGGACACAAAGGTTCTTAAGAGCAGAAGCAGTAAGGCAAGGCCTACAAGGCCTACTCATCTTGGATGATGATTCATTCTCCCTATAAAAAGTAGCCAGCCTGTCTAGGGGGCTCAGTCAGAGAGCTGTATGGACTGTGTATGTAGTAGTCTGTGGAATAGTGCTGTTGCTATGTAAAGCTAAGGCGGACAGAGTGGCTCCAGGACTCTAGTAAATCACTAAGACTGTGCCTCTGTGAAGAGTCAGATAGCTGCTATGAGCACTCTGTGTATGCTCTTTAACTACGCTGTTTCTGAACAAGTTTATTTTCTTCAAGTAAAAGTTTTATTCTGTTTATAAAGAAGACTCTGCGTTGATTAATTTACCGCTGCGTGACAGGATACAACCCAGGATCTCTAAAAATTGGTATGCAGAGCATGACGAGCCAGATTTCTGGAGCACTGGAGTATGAAATGAGCGGGATGCTCCTTACCCGTCCTTGCACGGCGAGGAGGAAGGGCTCTTCAAAGCTGAGCTGCAGGCCTTCAAGTGGGAGTCAAGAATGAATACAGCTCACTGGGAAGAACTCACTGAAAGGCAGAGATAAGGAGGGATGAGGCCAAAGCCACAACTGAAGGGGTTTGGCTATGGGAGCTGTGAGGGTGAAGCCTCACTTGCTGAAAGCCAGCAAACCGTCAAGTGCCCCAGGAGCATAGCTGTCAACTTTTCCCTTTTCTTGCGAGGAATCCTATTCAGGATAAGGGAATTTCCCTTTAAAAAAAGGGAAACGTTGACAGCTATGCACAAGAGGGGCAAGAGGGAAGCTACAAAACCCATAGACTTCCAAATCTAATGCAATGGCCAAAGTGCCATATCAATATTTTGCCCCTCTTTGGTGCTTGAGGAACCAGTTGCCCAGTAGAGACACCCTCACTCCAGTTCCACCTTCACTGCATCATCACCAAGTGTTGCTGTTTACAAGAGAAAACTGCAGACAACTCTAGCTGAGATAAGCCCAGAATCTTCCTTCTGGGTAGGTGACCCCAGAAGATCAATTTGGGTGCCCCTGTCCTGATATAGAGCTCTACAGATGACAGAGAGCAGCTATCAGTTCTTCCTTCAGGTGGGAAAGGTCTGCAGCTCAGTGCTTTGAAGCCAGAAAGTCGCAGGCTATATCCCAGGCATCTTTAGGTAGGATTGAGAAGAGACCCCTGCCTGAAACCCTGGAACGCTGCCATCAGTCAGCATAGAACTTCTGGCCCTCCAGATGTGGTTGGATTCCATCTCCCACCAGTCCTAGACAGCATGGCCAATCTTCAAGGTTGTTGGGAGTTGGGCCCCAGCAACATCCGAAGGGCTTCTACACCACTCTTGGTGTTAGACCAGAGTTTCCCAAACAGCTGTTGTTGGACTACAACTCCCATCATCCTTAGCTAGCAGGACCAGTGGTCAGGGGTGATGGGAATTGTAGTCCAAAAACAGCTGGAGATCCAGTATCAAGAGATGCAGACAATACCGAGCTAGATGGACCAATGTGGTGACTAAGTTTAAGGCAGCTTCCTGTGTTGCCACAGCAGACCAGACTCCTGGTCTTTAGCCTACTTGTTCTCAGCTCAGGTTGCTCACCGGTTCTTGGGCTCTGAGCACCTGACAGACTTCAAGATGAAAAAGAAAATAAGCTTAGCCTCAATAATAGGTGCAGTTGCCCCATCTTACATTAACAACCCCATTCTTCTTTCATCCCCTCTTTCCTTCCTCTTCCACAGCATTTCTTGAAAGCCTCCCACTTCCAAGTGTCACCGGATTTGCAGTTCCTGCTTTTGGCTTGCGATGTGCAGCAGGTAAGAGCCCAAAGTGCTTGCAGGCTGGTTAATTCCTCCACCCAATGCATTAAAAAGAAAAGAAAAGGCAAAACCTTTAAATATCTGAGGTGCTGGAATCGATCCACCCGCCACCTGCCCCAGAAAGGGTCAAGATTTATCACTAGCAGAATCTTGAACAGGCCAGTTGGTGCTGAAATTGGCCGCCTTTCCCTGTTCCCATCTTGGATAATTATAAACCATACAAATGTGCAAAAGTGCAGAGTCACCGTTCTCCATGCCAGCCGTGGAAAATCAATCTTGCTTCTCTTATCTATTCCTGCTAATACACCAAAATTTACTAATGGCACTGTAGTCTATCTCATAAGTGGGGAACCTCTGGTCTGTGGGCCTGATTTGGCCCACCAGGTCTCCCCATTTGGAGTGCGAGACTTTTGTGGCCAAGCCACACATACCTGCCCCACACCTGACATCATATAGGATTCATGGTGTGGGGCCGGTAATGATGCAGATAGGCTATAGGGCTGTTTGAGCAGCCATCAGTTTGTTGGTGGCTAGAATGAACTTCTGGAAAGGCACCAGTAAGAGCAGCTAAGCCAAGAACCACATCTCTGGGAGCTGTGAGAAAGGGAGGGTGAAGCCAGACTTGCTGGAAGCCTATGAACTACTAAGTGTAGCAGGACTGGCAGCTACAACACCCAGGAGCTTCCAAATTTAATGCAGCAGCAGAAGTGCCAGATCAATATTTTGCAAAGGCACCTTGCAGGTAGCAAAAATTGGGGTTTGCATAGACCATAGCTCAACTCCCTTCCTCATCCCATCCCATCCCATGGCAATTTGATTATAAGTGAAAATCATGCCCCTCCTCGGATTTCCAGTCCACAAATATCATCTAAGTGCATCTGTGATCACACGTCTAAGATAAAGGACTCCTGGATGGTTAACTCCAGTCAAAGGTGACTATGGGGTTGCGGTGCTCATCTCGCTTTCAGGCCAAGGGAGTCGGCGTTTGTCCACAGACAGCTTTCCGAGTCATGTGGCCAGCATGACTAAACCGCTTCTGTTGCAACGGAAACCAGAGCGCATGGAAACGCCGTTTATCTTCCCACTGCAGTGGTACCTATTTATCTACTTGCACTGGTGTGCTTTCAAACTGCTAGGTTGGCAGAAGCTGGGACAGAGCAACGGGAGCTCACCCTGTCATGGGGATTCGAACCACCGTCCTTCCAATTGGCAAGCCCAAGAGGCTCAGTGGTTTAGACCACAGCGCCACCCACATCCCTGCTGATGTCGGACCTAGAAGGCATCTTCAACGAGATTGAGAAGTGGAGCCAAGGTCACGTCTGCACCATACATTTTAAAGCACACAACTTGCCTCAAAGAATCCAGGGAGCTGTAGTTCTTTAAGGGTGCTGGGAGGAATTGTAACTCTGCAATTGGGTAAGCGGAGGTTCCCAGAATTCTTTGGGGGAAGCCATCAGTTCTAAATGTGCTTTAGGTGTATGTTGTGGATGTGACCCAAGTATATAAGCCTTTCCAGCTTGGTTAAAAGGTAAAGGGACTCCTGACCATTAGGTCCAGTTGTGGCCGACTCTGGGGTTGCGGCGCTCATCTCGCTTTATTGGCTGAGGGAGCCGGCGTACAGCTTCCGGGTCAGGTGGCCAGCATGAGTAAGCCGCTTCTGGTGAACCAGAGCAGCGCACGGGAATGTCGTTTACCTTCCCGCCGGAGTGGTACCTATTTATCTACTTGCACTTTGACTGCTAGGTTGGCAGGAGCAGGGACCGAGCAACGGGAGCTCACCCTGCCGTGGGGATTCGAACTGCCGACCTTCTGATTAGCAAGTCCTAGGCTCTGTGGTTTAACCCACAGCGCCACCCGTGTCCCATCCAGCTTGGTTAGGTGAAGGCAAAAAAAAAGGCAGGGCAGGGTAGAGTAAATGTAAATGATCCCTTTCACTCCAAAGGGTCTTAGAGCCAACATGGTGTGGTTGACTGGGGAGTGTTGGATTTGCTTGGACCATTCAAGCTCCAAAGGAATCCAGCTTTGGGCAAAACTTGTCCATCACTTCTTCCTCTCTGATCGCCAGGCAAGCCAACCACCTTGGGTATCATTAGCCGAAGCAGCTGCAGAAAAATGGAGAATTGATGTCCCAGGAAGCGTCTCCTGTTCCACACTAACACCAATTTTCTTATTTCCTGCTGGTCTGTAGGTTTTCCGCTACTCTTTCACAGCTCGCTACTTGATCTATAACTTGGGCACCAGGTAAGAACTGGACCCGCACCATAGGACAAATTTATTCAAATAGAACAACGAGGTCTTTATATGCTGTATTGTTATTTGCATCTATTCCATCATGTATGCCCCACTTCTATATCTTAAAGGGGTCCACAACCTTTGGGACCTAGGTCACATGTGTTTTGAGTACCAAATATTATTATCCTACTGCTGTGGATTGGCAGAGCAGCTTTTAACATAAACACACATATTCTTCATTCTGACACCCTTTACATTTTATTTTTTTAAAAAACCCGGTGTTTGTAATACTTTGTGGTCTTAGTAATTATGTAATTAGTTATGCTTGTTAAAAGAACATTTAAATAAAGAGATCTTTTTTATTTTAATTTTAAAAAACACCCTTCCTGTTTTCCTGTAGGCTGACAGCCAGTTTGCCATTACGAAACCTCTCAATAGGCATTACGGTCTATGCATAGGAATTAATGTGAAATCCATTAATAGATTACAGTGCTCAGCGATCGCATATTTAGGATTTTTCGCTCAATGAACACACAGCTGAGTTCCCAGCATGTACTGTGTGTGGAAACCGCATGAGGGGTTTGTCACATCTTATAACCCTACAATCAGGTTTCACATTACTGCTAATTCTTACCCAGAAGTTTTCGTTGTGCTGGAGTCTTATAACTTGTAAAATATATCCCTAAATTTACACAGACATCTTCAGCCTTTCCACATTGGGTTAGTCCTCCAGATCTTTAATTAAACAAGGCTGCGTCACTGATTGTTCAGCACCAAATATTTCTGCTCTGGTTCGTTGTTCCCAACCCCCATGGTTTCAGCGCTGTACCATAAACTTAATGGTTGTTTCACTTTCACTTTACTTCGTATTTATGTACTTAAGCCTAGATTATTTTTTTGTAATATTGAATATATTCAAGGACGAGGGAAGCTGCGGGGTCCCCAAATGACCCTGACTGTTGGCTGTGCTGGGTGGGGCAGTTTCCTTGTCCCTACTTTATTAAAAGCACACACCATAAATCAAATATTTGAAGCTGTTTGTTGCAACTACAAAGTATCTATGTTCAGTTATTTTTGCAAAATTCCCTTTTAGTTGTGGAGAGGGACTGATAGATTAATCCCTTCTTTAGTCTCTCTTACTCCACCCCCAAATTACAGTGGTGCCGCGCAAGACAAATGCCTCGCAAGACGAAAAACTCGCTAGACGAAAGGGTTTTCCGTTTTTTGAGTCGTTCCGCAAGACGAATTTCCCTATGGGCTTGCTTCGCAAGACGAAACGTCTTGCGAGTTTGTTTCCTTTTTCTTAAAGCCGCTAAGCCGCTAATAGCCGTGCTTCGCAAGACGAAAAAACCGCAAGACGAAGAGACTCGTGGAACGGATTCTTTTCATCTTGCGAGGCACCACTGTACACAGTCTTGCCAACAGTGGACCAGGCATTAGCATAAGAGGCCCTACTGCACTCTTTCAGCCTGCCGCACTTCCCAAATAATTCTCCTGCAGGAAAGTGGTCTCATGTTTCCTATTCCAGGGAGACCAGCAACCTCGATGTGCCCAAGGCAGATACTGTTCGTCTGCAATATGCGGCCTGGGGATCCCAGGATAACCAGCTGGTAAGTACCTATTCAATTTATTTACATTTTCATAAATTCAGGGCCAGCTCTGCCATTAGGTAGAGTGAGGCTGCCACCTCAGGTGGCTGGTGCTGGGGGCATTGATTGCTTCCCCCCACCCTAACCACCCCCATTCTTTCCTCTCTTTTTTAGAATAATTTTGGAATAATAATGCAGAGCTGTCTTGCCCACCAAATTAATTCATTACCTGAAAAGCAAGTCGTTGACTGCAAATTTGTGTTATTCAGGCAGCAGCCCTAGTTTATTTTTTATTTTTGTAATTTTTAATTTTTTTATTGACAAAGTAATAATCATAAATAAATAAGAATGAAAATGTGCACCCCATTCCATTGTAACTATCCAACATCCCAAAATTTCAACACCTCTTGCAGTGATTTGACCCCTTTCTGTTTTAACAGTACAAATTACACAAACACCCTGAAAATCATTTATCCTGCATATTTCCCATCTTACCTTAATGGCACATGTTAATTTATAATTAATAGCAATATCCTACACCTCTTTATAGGGACGCGGGTGGCGCTGTGGGTAAAAGCGGCGGGGTGCGCTCCCGTCGCTCGGTCCCAGCGCCTGCCAACCTAGCAGTTCGAAAGCACCCCCGGGTGCAAGTAGATAAATAGGGATCGCTTACTGGCGGGAGGGTAAACGGTGTTCCGCTGGCCACGTGACCTGGAAGTGTCTCCGGACAGCGCTGGCCCCCGGCCTCTTGAGTGAGATGGGCGCGCAATCCCAGAGTCTGTCAAGACTGGCCCGTATGGGCAGGGGTACCTTTACCTTTACCTTTTACACCTCTTTATACCATTCTTCCATTTTATATTCTGCTTGCCCTTTCCACTTCTTAGCTATAATAATTTGTGCAGCTGTCAATAAATTTGTGAGCAAGTCCTTCATAGCCTGTGAACCTTCCAACCCATCGTAAATTGAAAAGAATGCTACCTCTGGACTTTTGGTTAGCATTAACCCAGGGATTTCTGTTATCTCCTTAAGCACCCTTTGTCGAAAAAAAGTGTACATATTTCCACCCCCACCACATGTGAACATAATTCCCTGTTTCCTGGCATCCCCTCCAACATAACACCGAATATTCCTTGTTTATTTGATTTAATCTGACAAATTAAAGCAGCCCTAGTTTATACTAATTGGGGGAATGGATTAGCAGGACATTTTCAGTTTGCCTCTGTTTCCTTCCCACCCCAATCTCTGGCAAGGTTTGCCCAACGGTAGTTTTCTCGTTGCCAATTGCATATGTCACAACCAAGAACAACAAGGTTGGCCTGTGACTTGATTTCCATCCTCAGCAGTTTGAGTTAGAGCTTTGTGAGCATGGCTGCTGCAGCAGCAGCAACAACAACAACAACAGTTGATCCCTGTGGGCAAGACCTGGAGAAGGGATCCCTAGTGGATAACGGCAACATAAGCCAGCAATTTGCCTGTGAAGTTGCTCTTTGGCTCCCCAACCTATTTAGTTAAGGTTAGCCTCCCTAGAAAGTTGCTGTGATCACCCGTGGTGCCACTGGGGCAGGACTTTAGGGCAGAAGAACTCTGCTGACTTGGTGAAATATACTCGGAGTCGAGTGTGAATTTCATGCTCTTTATTCAGCTCATAGTGGTGAGGAGGAATGGAAGTTCCCCCACAATATCTGCCTTATATACATTATTTACACAATGGGCCCCACGTGATTGGCTAATTCCGGGATTCTCCTGTAGGCCAATCAGGTTGTGGATTCACTTCCACCTGGAGCTGGATTGGGTGGCTCCTGCGGACCAATCATACTGCTGCATTGTTCTAGGACCAATCAGACTGCTGCTTTCTGAATCCTGTTGTTCTAGGACCAATCAGACTGCTGCATTTTGGATCCTATTCAACTCAGTACATAACACTTGGGGAGCGGGGGTGACAAATTGAAAATACAGCCGGGTTGGCTTAACACATTTTGAAGTAAAGGAGGGAATACGCCTTGCTGTCTGAATTGGGAAGCCCCCAATTCTATACAATTCAGTATAGAATCTAAAATTACCGAATTGCATCCCTGGTAGTGATCATAGAACCAGAAGTTTCGGACGAGCTGATCCAGTCATCTTACTGATTTATTCCCTTCCCAGGTGTTTATCCTGGATAACGACATTTATTATCAGCCTGGAGTCTCCATCCGGGCCAAACGCATCACCACATCTGGACGCCAAGCAGTTATCTTCAATGGGATTGCTGACTGGCTATATGAAGGTGAGTAGGTCAAGGCCCTATGAACACAGTCAGGAGTCCTGGGGCAGCAGTCTTCTAGGGGGTGGCATCGCCCCATCCGCTTTGCAGTGCCAAAATAACACAGTGGAATGCTTTCACACACCTGTGATTTTAAAAGTCTTGCCTTTACTTCTGAGGGCTTTTTTTTTTTTTAACAATCGAGCAGTGTACAAATTTTATGAAATAAACAAAAAATAGTTCATCTCAATTCTCCTCTGAGTTCATACAGTGGTGATTAATGGCCATTTAGGAGCACTTTCTCCTGTCTTTTAAGAACTCAGCAAAACATTGATAAAGACTTAGTTCAGTTTAATTTAAGTTACCGTATTTTTCGCCCTATAAGACGCACCTTTTCCCCCTTCAAAAATGAAGGGGAAATGTGTGTGCGTCCTATGGAGTGAATGCAGGCTCCTTGGCTTCAGCGATAGCAACACAAAGCCTCCGAAGTCTGTGCTCCAGAGGCTTCGAGTTGCTTCCGCTGAAGCCAGGAGAGTCTGCTCTTTGAGGCTGGCGGTGGGAGAAAGCAATGCTTCCCCCATTGCCAGCCCCAGAGGATGGGGGGCAGCGGGAAGGCGCGCAACGCCTTCCTGCTACTCTCCAACCCGGCTTTGAGGCTGGCGGTGGGAGAAAGCAACGCTTCGCCCATCGCCAGCCCCAGAGGATGGGGGGAATTCCCCCACCTCGTAGAAAAGCCCGTAGGAGCCGCACAGCCTTTAGAGAGTGCTCCTGGTCGAAAAGCCCGCAGGAGTCGCGCGCGGCTCCTGTGGGCTTTTGCGGGAGGTGGGGGAATTCCGCCACCTCCCGTAAAAGCAGGAAGAAGGTCTTGGAGTAGCGCACAGGCTCCCAGAGCTGCGGGGGGGGGGGAATCATATTTTTTCCCTTGATTTCCCCCCCTGAAAACTAGGTGCATCCTATGGGCCGGTGCTTCCTATAGGGCGAAAAATACGGTAAATGAAGCACTCCGAAGTGCAGTGAAGGCCATTGGCCAGTTGTGTCTTCCATGGCCTGCAGGGGGAGCTATTTCCTTATTTAACCTTTCCAGAAATAAACATGCTGCTTTCAGGGATGGCATTGGTAGAACCGTTCAGAGTGACCTGCCTGTCGAGGCCTGAAAATTATGGGTGAATGAGAGGGGAGGGGTCTGAACAAGTAATCTAGGTGAAAGTAACAGAGACGCGGATGTTTTCGGAGACAAAGAGTGCCCCTTTGTGCATTCTGCGTGCATTCTGCATTTCTCATTGTAGCCTTATTAGACCTTACCGACTGGTGGGGTCTGCTTTGCTCCCGGGAGGGAGGAAGGAAGTCAAATGACACCGAGGTTGATTCAGAGAAAGAGTTTATTCTGCTCTCCGGATAGCAGAAGGCACTTGCCTGGTCAGTCCACAGCAAGTCCAAAGAAATGAGAGATTTCATGCAGTATATATATCCTCCAGGCACCCTTTCCCCCCTTCCCCAGGAATCCATCCACGTCAGCTTATACACGCAGGTTGCCATCACATATGTTCCTGCTCTGGTACTCTTAACCATAAAAGGGTTTTCCTCTTCCTGTACTCTTGACCATAAAAGGTTGTTCCTGTTCCTATACTCTTATCTTGGGGCAGGAGGTCACCAACTCCAGGCGCCGTTCCCGGGTCTCTTGTCAGACTTGACAAGGTCTGTGCGTCTTTGTGGTCAGGATGTAAGATAAGACCCAGACGCGTCATCCCTGCTCTACTGGAACTGGCAAGGCCACTCATTGCCGTCACGGACTGATAAGGGAGAGAGCTTTGAGCACTTGTTTATACAGCTGGGTTTTGGCTCAAGAGCTCAAGTTAGAGCATTTTAGAAATGCTCCCTTGGAGGAGGAAAAATGGGGATTTTGGGTCAGTTTCAAACTGACTGCACAGAAACCCATTCCTTCATCATGAGGAAAGGCAGGTGGGCTCCAGCAGACGTAGTTTACTGCTTGATACTCATATCTGATATCCCCCCCTTGCTTCCAAGAGGAGATCCTGCAGACTGCCAGTGCTCACTGGTGTTCACCTGATAGCATGTGGCTAGCCTATCTTTCCATCAACAACTCCCTGGTGCCAAAGATGGAACTGCCCCAGTTTCTTGGAGGAAAATACCCTACCAGCCAACACTATCCCTATCCTAAGGTGAGTCCCACTTCTATCCATAGCTGTCAACTTACAGATTTGTAAATAAGGGACCAGCAGCCTAGAGAATAAGGGATCAGCAGCCAAAATAAGGGATTTTCCAGGCACAGGTATGTTCAACTTCTGAGCCCCTCCGAGCCAAAGGCAGAAAGCCCAGCCAGCAGCCAAACAAAGCCTCAAGCGGTGGTACCCACAGCGCAGCAACCCGGCAAAGGGGATGCAGCAGGGAAAACCACCGTCACCTCTCCACTGGGAAGCGCTGAGCAAAGGCGAGTCCCCAGGCAACGCGGCCAATTTGATCAGCATAAGGCATGCAAGCTCCACCCCCCAGTTGTTCTTAGACTCCTTATTGGGTGGGCAACACAGCCAAGCAACACAGTTGGAGCCTCCCTCCTCCCTGGCCGGCAGGGAGGGAGGGAGAAGAGCTACTTCCTTTGAAACCCGGGAAATTTAAGGGACATCATCAATAAGGGACAGCAGCGGGACACAGCGCTGGAATAAGGGACTTTCCCGCCAAATAAGGGACGGTTGACAACTAAACTTCCATCCTCCCATACAAGGGGTGGACTAGAGGGAGGCCAACAGTCACAAGGGTGTTTAGGTGACCTTAGAGCAGGCATGGCCACACTTAGCCCTCCAGCTGTTTTGGGACTACAACTCCCATCATCCCTAGCTGACAGGACCAGTGGTCACGGATGATGGGAATTGTAGTCCCAAAACAGCTGGAGGACCAAGTTTGGCCATGCCTGCCTTAGAGGAACCAAGCAACCTGCATGTTTTTTGCTGATCTAACTTTGCACATTTATCCTCTCAAATCGGGTGCGAGGAGAGCCTTTGGGCCTCCAGATTTTGTTGAACTACAACTCCCATCTGCCCCAGAAAACATGGCCAATGGCCGAGGATGATGAGGGTTGTAGTTCAGTAACATCAGGAGGGACAACGGTTCCCCACACCTGTCTTACACAGCTGTCCAACATCTCTCTGATGAAAATAGAGACGTCCTAAGGAAAAGCGAGACATTCCAGGATCAAATCAGAAACCAAAATGGCTTCTGTAAATTCTGGAAAATAGGGACATTTGGAGGGTCTGGTCTTAAGGGTTTGTAGAGCCAGGTGTAGACTCTTGGCACCTCAAAGCAAGCAATGAGGAACCTGTAGTCCTAAATATGTTGCTAAACTACAACCAATCTGCGCCAATCTGGGCCCATAACCTATTGGCAAAACCTATTGGTGTTTCGCAACTTTCTGACTAGTTGCAGGACCTTAGCCAGACCTAGCAGAGTGAACGCAGAATCCATGGAAGCAATTGGCGACTTGGCTGCAGACAGGATAGACGAAGCAGGAACCAGGAACTTGTAGTTAGGTGTTTATTATATACAGTGGACTATTTACAGGAAAAAACCACAGATCTTTAGCTAGCTCTTTCTGTCACGACTCACAACTCCTACACTCACTGACACACTGAACTCTGAACACATTCCAGTTAGTAGGCCATTAATTCTCACTCCCTTGAGAGAGCTTGACCAATCAGGGGGCTGTCTCCATGCCTCTGTTATCACCAGGCAGACTTACTCCTTCAGATTGCCTTCTGGCTGTCTGCCAAACCTTAATTGACTCTGTGTGAGTAGCTGCACGTACACAGTTTCCCAACATTCCATTATCCCTAGCCATCCTAGCTAGTGCTCATGGGATCTGTAGTCCAACAACATCTAGAGGGTCACAGGTTCCCCATTCCTATGGAATATGGTTTGCTTGTACCACAGGCCTGTCTATTAGTGCATGAATGCTTATGACTGATGACAGCTCCTGCTGTTGCATGTTGACCTCCCACCCTGACTTGTTCACATATTTTGTTCCCTGCCCTTGACTTCCTCCTGTCTCTCCCCTTTCTCTTCTCTTCTCAGGCCGGACAGCCCATCCCTTCTGTCCAACTCTTTGTGGTGAACCTATCTGGGGCACTTCACCTGCTGGAGCTCCTACCTCCGGAATCCTTCCAGGGCAGGTGAAGGGGAAGGGAGGGTCGGGGTTGCCTGGTGGAATTTTGTTTCCCTTTATCCAAGCAGCTGCTAGTTCAGGAAGCGTCTCCTTTGAGCCGTGTGGCTCCGATCCAAATTCGTTCTCCTTATACCCGGTGCTATTTTTCTTAAAAAAAATCTTTAGGATTACTCTCATTTTGACTCAAGAAAATCACCATTTTATAGTTCAAATCAGGAAAAATAAATACAATAAATGGACAGAAGTACAAAGAGTCACAAAATGATTAGGGGTATGTGTACCCCTGAGTACCACCGCTTATGTCTGTAAAAATTTGCTGCTGCTATTGTTGCTGCTGCTGTTTTATATTTTTATATATATATATATATATAAATTTTTATTAGTTTTTTTAACATATCATTTTCAACAGTAATTAAACATACTTTTACATCTTATTCAAATTTTTGACTTCCACCAATCCTGTCTGAAAACTTTCCAATCTAATCTCTCAGTATGCATTTCTTATCTTCCCTATGACATTTCAAACTCATAACCAATATCTCTGTCTTTTTCTACTTTGTAACACTTTGGATATTTCTCCTTACAAAACTTCTTGTAGTCCTACTAGCGTAATTTGTTGATTACAGTTGCTCTTCAAATAATTCATATACTTCTTCCAATCTTCTGTAAATGTCTCGTCCCGCAGGTTTCGAATACTTCCTGTCATTTGGTCCAATTCTGCATAGCCCATTAATTTCGTCTGCCATTCTTCTTTCGTCGGAATTTCTTCTTGTTTCATTGCTGCTGCTGCTGCTGCTGTTATTACTGGTGTCATCATCACCATTCTCTGTTGACCTCCCACCTGGACTACTCTACAGTGGTGCCCCGCAAGACGAAATTAATTCGTTCCCCAAGTTTTGTCATCTAGCGAATTTTTCGTCTTGCGAATTATTATTTAGACAAAGGAAACAAAGTCGCGAGACGTTTTCGTCTTGCGAAGCAAGCCCATAGGGAAATTCGTCTTGCGAGGCAACTCGCAAACGGAAAAACCTTTCGTCTAGCGAGTTTTTTGTCTTGCGAGGCATTCGTCTTGCGAGGTACCACTGTAATATGATGTACAGTGGTACCTCGCAAGACGAATGCCTCGCAAGGCAAAAAACTCGCTAGACGAAAGGTTTTTCCATTTGCGAGTTGCCTCGCAAGACGAATTTCCCTATGGGCTTGCTTCGCAAGACGAAAACGTCTCGCGACTTTGTTTCCTTTGTCTAAATAATAATTCGCAAGACGAAAAATTCGCTAGACGACAAAACTTGCGGAACGAATTAATTTCGTCTTGCGGGGCACCACTGTACAGTGGTGCCTCGCAAGACGAAATTAATTCATTCCGCGAGTTTTGTCGTCTTGCGATTTTTTTCGTCTTGCGAAGCACGGTGTCGGGAAAGTTTTGGAAAAGCTTCAAAAATCACCAAAATCTTTAAAAACCTCAAAAAAGGCTACCACACCGCATTCTATTAGTTGCTCCTCGAAGTCAAGTCGCAACTGTATTAACGGTGTTAAGAAAAAGGAAACAAACTTGCAAGACGTTTCCGTCTTCCGAAGCAAGCCCATAGGGAAAATCATCTTGCGAAGCAGCTCAAAAAACAAAAAACCCTTTCGTCTAGCGAGTTTTTTGTCTTGCGAGGCATTCGTCTTGTGAGGTACCACTGTATAAGGGGCTGTGCTTGAAGGGTGATGTAAAAATTGGGGTTTTGCTTTTGCTGCCCAACTCCCCAATGGGACTCTGAGTCCCCTAAGTCCATGAATGGTCAGAGGAAAATGAATGGAGGCAGGATCCAGTGGAAAACAAGGCAGATATTTATTATTTCTGTTGCAACAGAGTTCCCTGCCCCCCTTCCAAGGAGGGAGAGGCCCTGAACAAAAGTGTGCAGGAACCTTTAAAGACTTTGACATTGCCCTTAGCAAAAGACCACCCCCCCAATCATACATACATACATCACAGGAGGCAATCTATACCAGAAATCCTGTCTGCCAGGATACCTGACAATAGTCACTGATTGCATTACCTGAGCAGCCTGGCCATTCTTTTGTGATGGTTAGTGCTTTAGTTCCTGAATCCAGTTCACAGGCTCACCCTATTCATAAACAATTATGCCCTTAAGATCGGATTTGTAAGTGAAAAGACAATGGGAAGGCTTTCCTCATTTGCCTCCCTTACTGTAGAGGAATATCTGAGGGCATTGGGGAGAGTCAGAATGGCTTCAGGATTGCTCTCCCATGCTATTTCAGACACATGGTTTATATATTTAGATATGTGTGCATTTATGAATATTTATTCTATATTGGGGGACGTGGGTGGCGCTGTGGGTTAAACCACAGAGCCTAGGACTTGCCGATCAGAAGGTTGGCGGTTCGAATCCCCGCGACAGGGTGAGCTCCCATTGCTCGATCCCAGCTCCTGCCAACCTCACAGTTCGAAAGCGCATCAAAGTGCAAGTAGATAAACAGGTACTGCTCCGGCGGGAAGGTAAACGGCGTTTCCGTGCGCTGCTCTGGTTCGCCAGAAGCAGCTTAGTCATGCTGGCGACATGACCCGGAAGCTGTACACCGGCTCCCTCGGCCAGTAAAGCGAGATGAGCACCGCAACCCCAGAGTTGATCATGACTGGACCTAATGGTCAGGGGTCCCTTTACCTTTTTATTCTATATTGGAGAACTTAGAATTCTTATAACAAGGGCAACAGGTTTCCCACTCCTGCTTTAATGTATAGCGTCCAACAGGGAGTGCCAGCTTGAGTAAAATATTGTGGGGGCCCAGGTAAGCCCCACCCTGCATCATCTATCACATGATGTGGTGCACACACACCATTTAAATGGAAATGCCCATCAACTTTTTGGGGGCCTAGTCCCCTCAAATATTTTATTTTGGTGGCCAAAGTCCCTACTGCCCCTAGGAACCAGCTCCTATGGCGTCCACCACAGCTAGTCCACATGCAACCTGTAATTATTTACCTAACATTTGCAGACTGAAAAAACGACGCTAGCGAATGCCAGTCATATTTCCTTTACTGATCTCAGAAGAACGTGCAAAGTGCAGCCATTGCTGTTTTCTCTCTCAAACCAAATTCTTTGATATCTCTCTGTGCCGGTCAGTTCAGAAGCTTGCTCTCTTTTTTTGTACTTCCTGTCCGGCACAGGGCAAGAATACAAAGAAAGGGGCCTGGATATGCTGGTCAGCTAATGGATTGGTGAACTTTTTGCCAAATGACCCCTGAGGGAGCCAAGACTGTTTAGTTTCCGCCATCCCAAGCATGCTGGTTTCACTACTGCTCTCTTTCCAGGGAATATTACATCACCATGGTAAAATGGGTGGGACACTCCCGCTTGGCTGTGCGATGGTTAAATAGGCCGCAGAACATGTCCGTGCTGAGTCTGTGTGAAGCTGCCACAGGGACCTGCACCGAGGTGAGCTCCATTACTAAGTACAGTCATACCTCAGGTTAAATTTGCTTCAAGTTGAGCGCGTTCAAGTTGCACTCCACGGCAACCCGGAAGTAACGGAGCATGCGCAGACGCTCAAAATGACGTCATGCGCAGAAGCGGCAAAAAGCGATGCGCGCGTGTGCAGACGTGCCATCGCTAGATACGTTTACCTCTAGATGCGAACAGGGCTCCGGAACGGATCCCGTTTGCATCTAGAGGTACCACTGTATTATAATACACCCGTATTATTTCGTTAGGACATTCCTCTATCCCACCTTTCCTCCAAGGTGCTCAAAGTGGCGTGTACCTGATTCTCCCCCACCTCAACAACCCTGTGAGGTAGGTTAGGCTAAGACAGGTACCCCCAAACTTGGCCCTCCAGATGTTTTGGGACTACAACTCCCATCATCCCTAGCTAACAGGACCAGTGGTCAGGGATGATGGGAACTGTAGTCCCAAAACATCTTGAGGGCTGAGTTTGGGGGTGCCTGAGCTAAGAGATGGTGACTGGCCCCTGTGAGCTTGATAGCAGAATTGGGGGCTTGACACCTGGTCTTCCAGATCGTGGTATTTAACAACTATACCAAAATTGTCCCTCATGTACTTCTGTGTGTGAGAGAACTGGGTTTCTATGTATGGAGTTCGTACTATAGCTACCTTTTAAAGCCATTCTTTAGAAAGCCTTTCAAAATACACCTTTTAAATGCATCCTTTCATGAAATGGAGGGTGTTGTTGCTGTTGTTTAGTCGTTTAGTTGTGTCCGACTCTTCGTGACCCCATGGACCAGAGCACGCCAGGCACTTCTGTCTTCCACTGCCTCCCGCAGTTTAGTCAAACTCATGCTGGTAGTTTCGAGAACACTATCCAACCATCTCGTCCTCTGTCGTCCCCTTCTCCTTGTGCCCTAGAGGGTTCTAATTTAGTACCTCAGGGAGTTAATAAAGAATACAGTCATACCTCGGGTTACAGGCGCTTCAGGTTGCGCGTTTTCGGGATACGGACGTACCGAAACCCTGAAGTACCGGAATGAGTTACTTCCGGGTTTTGACACTGACGCATGAGCAGCAATGCTAAATCGCGCTTTGCGCATGCACAGAAGGGCTGAATCGCAACCCGCGCATGTGCAGACGCGGCGCTGCGGGTTGCAGACACTGCAGGTTGCAAACGTGCCTCCCGCACAGATCGCATTCGCAACCTGAGCGTCCACTGTACAGGAGTGGGGTTGTGGTTGGGGAGTCTAGTATGAGGTACCAGGGTGAAGTTTTGTCCTATTTTCTCCCGAACGCTTTGCTAACCACGTTTTGCATCCTCTTAGAGATACAAAGTGACATCAGATTTCTGGGTGGACATGCAGGTAAGAGGCTTGAGATCATTCTATTCCTTTATTATTCCCTGTGCCAGGCCAGCTACATTCCCACATCTCATCAGGAAATTGCTGTTTATATATATATATATATATATATATATATATATATTTCTTCAAAATGTCCATGTCGATCATCATCACAAACAATAAATGACCATTCATTTAGCAAGGGATGTCAGGTAACATTAAAGACCCAAGTTGTAAATGTTTGCTATCCAGAATAAGCTAGTTCTGCTACAGGCTGATGGCAGAAAAGCAATGGCAGCTAAAAGGGACGTGGGTGGCGCTGTGGGTTAAACCACAGAGCCTAGGACTTGCCGATCAGAAGGTTGGCGGTTCGAATCCCCGCGACGAGGTGAGCTCCCATTGCTCAGTCCCTGCTCCTGCCAACCTAGCAGTACAAAAGCACATCAAAGTGCAAGTAGATAAATAGGTACCGCTCCGGCAGGAAGGTAAATGGCACTTCCGTACGCTGCTCTGGTTCACCAGAAGCGGCTTAGTCATGCTGGCCACATGACCCGGAAGCTGTACACCGCTGTACACCGGCTCCCTCGGACAATATATTTTTTAAAAAAAACAAAACAAAAAGCAACAGCAGCTTGCTGTGTGGAAGCAAACCTAGTCCCAGCTTCTGATATTCTGGCCAATAAGTGCACAGCCACAGGGATGGTGGACAAGAACTTAAGAATGCCTTCTCCAAATTATTCATCCATTTCATAACATGAAATAATATTACTATTTGTGTTTAGTTTTTCTGCTGGTTGTTTTGACTTTTGATAGTTCCTTCGGTGTGTCCTCCAGGGGTGGGAAACCTGTGCAGTCTTCCAGATGTTGTTGGGTTTTGATGGTCGGGGTGATGGGAGACAATATCTGGAAGGCCACAGGTCAGCCATCTTTGCCTCGGTCTGCATCCACTGCAGGTACCAGGAAATCAGGACTTACTGAATATTCACAGCCTGGCCCATGACCCAAAAACTATGAAACATTTTTGCTTGGGGGTTGAGGAGTTGAGGAGAAACATAAGGCAACCCGAGTTGAGAGGGAGAAAGGGTTGGCTTCACATGCAGAATTGCCATGGTTTAATCTTCGGCATATCTATGGTACGCCGGATAGAGACTCCTCCTGGAAGTCCTGGAGATCTGCAACCAGTCAGTGTAGATAGTACTGAACCTAGTGGACATCAGGTGGGGCTGTGGTCTAAACCACCAAGCCTCTTGGGCTTGCCAGTCAGAAGTTTGGCGGTTCGAATCCCTGCGACAGGGTGAGCTCCCGTTGCTCTGTCCCAGCTTCTGCCAACCTAGCAGTTCGAAAGCACACCAGTTCAAGTAGATAAATAGGTACCACTGCAGTGGGAAGATAAACGGCGTTTCCATGCGCTCTGGTTTCCGTTGCGCCAGAAGCGGTTTAGTCATGCTGGCCACATGACTCGGAAATCTGTCTGTGGACAAACGCCGACTCCCTTGGCCTGAAAGCGAGATGAGCACCGCAACCCCATAGTCAATTTTGACTGGACTTTATCATCCAGGGGTCCTTTACCTTTACGTTTAGATGGATTAATGGTTAGGCAGCGTCCTATGCAATGCAAACCCAGGGTGTTCGGAACCATGTAAAATAAATTAATCAATGTCCAGCCTGGCAGCACACCTGAGCCAAGTTTGGCAGGTGGGTCTAACTGCTGTATCTTCATTTCCCACATGCCTCCAAACGAACCTCACTCTGAGGCCCTGTGGGAAATGAACGTGGCGGCAGCTAGACTCGGTCACCCAGTGCTGCTCAGAGCATGGCTGCCTGCCACTACGTATAGTTACAGGAGGTCCTGGGTCAAAGGGGAAATACTTGAAGGGAGAACTTCGTGTAGAAGGGAACTGGAGGAGCAAGCCAAAGTGGGCTTGGAGGCCGAGGTGTAAGCAGGGCTCCCAGTTTAGTAAACTTAAGTTGTTTCTGTGTGAGTTTACCTGAAGTGCCTAGAGTCTGTTTTTAAGAAGCGCAGCCTCCTGGACAACAGCAAAGCCACCATCTGGGTTAGGGAGGCACACGGGCAGAGAAGGGGGACGGCCCACACCCATCAGAGGTCTAATAATAATAATAATAATAATAATAATAATAATAATGGGCATCAGGCAAAAACGTTCCTCTTTAACAAGGCCTTTGGCTGATTGACATCCAAATGCCCCCTTTCCCCTATAATTTTTATTGAAGCTTTTTTTGTGATACAAAACAAATAAGCAAGGAAAGGTACATATAGCGTCTCCGGTTTCAATTCATAGCCTTTTAAAATGTAATGGGCAGGGGGCATTATTGGGTTGCTTTTGTTTTGTATTTTCTGTTTTTATATTGTGATTTTTATGTTGTAACCGCCCTCAGGTCTGCGGGTATAGGGCAGTATACAAATACAGTGGTACCTCGGGTTACATACGCTTCAGGTTACAGACTCCACTCACCCAGAAATAGTACCTCAGGTTAAGAACTTTGCTTCAGGGTGAGAACAGAAATCATGCTCCGGTGGTGTGGTGCCAGTGGGAGGCCCCATTAGCTAAAGTGGTGCTTCAGGTAGGGAAAGGAGAATGTTAGCCGCTTTGAGACTCTTTCGGGTAGTGATAAAGCGGGATATCAAATCCAAACTCTTCTTCTTCAGGTTAAGAACAGTTTCAGGTTAAGAACGGACCTCCGGAATGAATTAAGTACTTAACCTGAGGTACCACTGTAACAACAACAACAACAATAATAATTGTTCACCCCCATCATTCTGCCCGGACACTGAGGTCCAGCGCCGAGGGCCTTCTGGCAGTTCCCTCATTGCGAGAAGCAAAGCTACAGGGAACCAGGCAGAGGGCCTTCTCGGTAGTGGCACCCGCCCTGTGGAACGCCCTTCCAGCAGATGTCAAAGCGATAAACAACTACCTGACATTCAGAAGACACCTTAAGGCAGCCCTGTTCAGGGAAGTTTGTAACGTGTGGTATTTTACTGTATTTTTGGTTTTTATGGAAGCCGCCCAGAGTGGGCGGGGTATAAATAAATTATTATTATTATTATTATTATTATTATTATTATTATTAATAATAATAATAATAATATCAAACACTCACCTGCGTATCCAGCAATGCATTCACACCTTCCTTCCTATGTATCCCAGCAAGGAATGCCTATCTTTTCTGAAGACGCCGAGACCCTTTTTCTGCCGGTGCCTGTGAAACAAGGGCCTCGTGGAGAATTCCACCACATCACCATGCTTTCCACGCAGGTAAATTTAGCTACCCGATATCCACCTGCTGCATGTGACTGCCAACTTTAAAACCCCCCCATTTTCAGACGAGGAACGGCTTCCTACAGAAGTTGCTGTTTGCTTCTCCATATGCCTGCAGGCCTCACATCTTATGCCATGTCCCATGAGACATTTGAAAGCAGGGTTGGGCAACTTGTACCTCTAGGACGGTGTGCAGATTTTGGCTGAATTTCATAAGGCATCTTTTGGGGTACCTAACTTGGTGACTTTCAGGTGTTGATGGACTGCAGCTCCCAGAATCCCTGGCCATAGGCCATGTCAGCTGGGGCTGCTGGGAATTGAGAGCCCAACGAAAACATCTCTGGTGGGCACCATCTTGGCTGGTGCCTGGTATTAAAGGCACAGTAGCCCTGTCAAGAAAACCAAAAGCAAAACTTGGAAACTCTCTGTGGTTCACGGCATGGTAGTAACGGTGAAATATACTCGGAGTTGAGAGTGGATTTCATGCTCTTTATTCAGCTCATAGTGGTGAGGAGGAATGGAAGTTCCCCCAGAATGTCTGCTTTATATACATTATTTACACAATGGGCCCCACATGATTGGCTAATTCCGGAATTCTCCTGTAGGCCAATCAGGTTGCGGATTCACTTCCACCTGGAGCTGGATTGGGTGGCTCCTGTGGACCAATCAGACTGCTGCATTCTGGATCCTATTGTTTTAGGACCAATCAGATTGCTGCATTTTGGATCCTATTCAACTCAGTACATAACAAACGGGAAAAGGAGGAACCACAGACTGGGCACTGGGGGAAGAAGGAAGACCAAAGGGAACGGTTAATAAGGAAACTGGAATGGTGTGTGAGAGACAATATGCACAGGAAACTGGCGAAAAAGAGTGTGTCCCTTACTGTGATCCTCAGCTCAGTCTGAAGGAAAATATTCAATATACAGTGGTACCTCGGGTTACATACGCTTCAGGTTACATACACTTCAGGTTACAGACTCCGCTAACCCAGAAATAGTACCTCGGGTTAAGAACTTTGCTTCAGGGTGAGAACAGAAATCGTGCTCCGGCGGCGCGGCGGCAGCAGGAGGCCCCATTAGCTAAAGTGGTGCTTCAGGTTAAGAGCAGTTTCAGGTTAAGAACGGACCTCTGGAATGAATTAAGTACTTAACCCGAGGTACCACTATACCATGAAACCCCAGCTTCAAGAACAATAATCATTTTCCATCTAGGATTCCTACACCCCCCCCTTTAACTAGACATGGAATAGCAACCCAATATGCAGAAGTTCAGCCGGTGAATGTCTTGAGTTTGCTTGAGTTTTGCATGTCCGTCTGCAGGAACAGAGGGGAACAGTGGCGGGAAGATAGCAACAACACCTGGATTGTGATGACGCATGTGAGTCTTCTCTTCCCCCTTCTTATTTTTTCTCCTGCCAGCCCAGTCGCAAAGAGAGCAGCGTGCGCCTCCTGACCTCTGGGACCTGGGACGTCACCAGCATCCTGGCCTATGACGAGAACAGCAAACGGCTGTGAGTACCCGGAGGCCATGGTCCTATCCGTGCCCCAGAGCAGCTCCTCCAGATGGAAGTAGGTGGGGGAAACTATGTCTCTGCTGACACTCTCCTTTCCCTTAGATATTTCCTGAGTTCTGAAGACAGGCTCAGCTCCAAACATTTATACAGGTGAGTATTCCAGCTCATACAGAGCACAAATAGGACCTTCTGTTCAGGGTTCCAGCTAACCAGCCATGCCATCTTCCAGGAAACTCTATTCCACCATTGTTCCAGCTTTCTGTGTCTCCCCACCGTCGCAAGTCAGTATTTTGTGCCCATTAAGTATCCTCAATGCTCACTAAGCTGTTTTTTCTTGTAACCCCCCCCCCAAATATTTAGGGTCTGTTTTACCACTGAGTTTCATCATACTTCTTTCTGCAAAGAAGGATGTGACAGATTCCAGATTGGCCTCGGTAATGGACTGGATGAGAGCCAACAAAATGAAACTATAAGAATAAGACACTGTGAGTGGGTGGTTCCCTAGACCAGATGGGCGGTCGGTCTCCTGCTCTTGATGCGGTTACGCTTCCACCGAAGGAGCAGGTTCGTAGCTTGGGGGTCCTCCTGGATCCTTTGCTGTCACTCAAGGCTCAGGTGGCCTCAATGGCCCGCAGTGCCTTCCATCAGCTTCGGCTGGGGGCCCAGCTGCACCCTTATCTGGACAGGGATAGCCTAACTACTGTTGTCTATGCTCTCGTAACCTCAAGGTTAGATTACTGCAATGCGTTATATACATAGGGTTGTCTCTGAAGACGGTTCGGAAACTTCAGCTAGTGCAGAATTCAGCAGCCAGCTTGCTCACTGGATCAAGACAGTTTGAGCATATTACACCGTTCCTGGTCCGAATGCACTGGCTACCAGTTACCGTATTTTCCCCTCTATACCACAAGACGCACCTAGTTTTGGGAGGAGGAAAACAAGAAAAAAAATATTCTGAATCTCAGAAGCCAGAACAGCAAGAGGGATCGCTGCGCAGTGAAAGCAGAAATCCCTCTTGCTGTTCTGGCTTCTGGGATAGCTGCGCAGCCTGCATTCGCTCCATAAGACGCACACACATTTCCCCTTACTTTTTAGGAGGGGAAAAGTGAGTCTTATAGAGCAAAATATACGGTAGTTTCCGGGCCCAATTCAAAGTGCTGGTTTGGACCTATTAAGCCTTAAAAGGCTCAGGACAGCAATACTTCAAGGACCACCTCTTTCCACATGAACCTACCCAGACCCTGAGATCATCTTCTGAGGCCCTCCTTCCTGTGCTTCGTCCTCGAGAGGTCCAGAGGGTGGCAACACAAGAACAGGGGCTTCACTGCAGTGGCTCCCCTTTAGGCGTTCCTTTTTAACCAGGCCTTGGGTTGATCTGATTTATGTCCTATGCCCTTTTAAAATGTTTTTTTTGGGGGGGGGGCTATTGGGTTGTTCGGGACGCGGGTGGCGCTGTGGGTTTCCGTGCGCTGCTCTGGTTCGCCAGAAGCGGCTTAGTCATGCTAGCCACATGACCCGGAAGCTGTACACCGGCTCCCTCGGCCAATAAAGCGAGATGAGCGCTGCAACCCCAGAGTCGGTCACGACTGGACCTAATGGTCAGGGGTCTCTTTACCTTTACCTTTATTGGGTTGTTGTTTTTATTTTTATTATGTATTTTGTGGTTTTATATCTTGATTTTATTCTGTGAACCACCCTGAGACCCCCGGGTATAGGGCAATATATTAAATAATCAATCAGTCAATCAGTCCCATGGTACCATGCTGCGACTTCTTTGCAAAGCATTTTGAGGATCAAATCGCTTATGTCTGCAGGTGAATCTCAAGAGGTGTCCAGAGCACTGTCTAGTCCTGTTATGTTGGATGACTTTGAGTTGGTAAGGCTCAAGGATGCGGACAAGGTGCTTGGACCGGACAGGGCAACCACTTGCACTCTGAACCCTCGTGGCTGATAAAAACTATCAGGGAGAGGACCAATTGCTGTCAACGTTTCCCTTTTTAAAAGGGAAATTCCCTTATTCTGAATAGGATTCCTTGCAAGGAAAGGGAAAAGTTGACAGCTATGGAGAGGACACCTCCTTCTGTCACCTCCAGGGCTGTGGTTAATATCTCCTTACGAGAGGGGATAGTCCCTGCCAGCTCAAAGGAGGCAGTGGTAAAACCACTCCTCAAAAAAGCCTCCCTCAGTTTGAAAATCTAAGTATCGTAATTACTGGCCAACTGCCAATCTCCCTTTCTTGGGCAAGGTTCTTGAGCAGGTGGTCATGGAGGAAACTGATTCTCTAGATCCATTTCAATCGGGGCCTGGTTTTGACACACAAATGGATTTGGTCACCCTGTATGAAGGCCTGTGTCGGAAGAGAGGCAGGGGAAATGTGTCCCTGTTAATTCTCCTCTACTTCTCAGTGGCCCCCTCAAGGAAGAGAAGTATTCCTTCCACACTAGAGGTATATAAGGGTCTGAATCTGGTCTAGAGCCTTGCCCGTTCTAATGTTTATGAGCCAGATGAATAGTAAATAATAATAATAATAATAATAATAATAATAATAATAATAATAATAATAGAATTTATTACCTGGGGGTTTCAGGGCAGTTTGCAAAATAAAATCAAGATATAAAACCACAAAATAACTAATAAAAACAAAAACAACCCAATAGCCCCCCCCCTGAAAAAAAACACATTTTAAAAGGGCATAGGATGTAAATTAGATCAACCAAAGGCCTGGTTAAAAAGGAACGTTTTTGCCTGTGTGAAATTGCTGTCACCTAGTGGCATTCAGGTGGAATTACGTCCCGAATCCCGAATCTCACCCATCCTTCCTAGTCAGACTATTCAGGGCAAATGAAATATTCGGACCGAAATAGAAAAATCCCACTGAGTTGAATTTTTTTTTAAAAAGCATTTTTCATGTGTTAAGGTGCTGCTCCTCTGTCAATTTCAATTAATGCATCTATAGCAGTATTTTCCAAACTTGGGTCTCCAGCTGGTTTTGGACTACAATTCCCATCATCCCTGATCACTGGTCCTGCTAGTTAGCGATGATGGGAGTTGTAGTCCTAAAGCAGCTGGAGACCCAAGTTTGGGAAACCCTGATCTATAGGATGGGGGTGTAGCAGGTTCCATCTCTGCCCACTAAGTACATTTTTTTTTGTATGTGGTAATATACCATTGGGAAGCGGGTGGTGCTGTGGGTTAAACCACAGAGCCTAGGACTTGCCGTCGGTGGTTCGAATCCCCGCGACAGGGTGAGCTCCCGTTGCTCGGTCCCTGCTCCTGCCAACCTAGCAGTTCGAAAGCACGTCAAAGTGCAAGTAGATAAATAGGTACCGCTCTGGCGGGAAGGTAAACGGTGTTTCCGTGCACTGCTCTGGTTCGCCAGAAGCAGCTTAGTCATGCTGGCCACATGACCCGGAAGCTGTACGCCGGCTGCCTCGGCCAATAAAGCAAGATGAGCGCCGCAACCCCAGAGTCGGCCACGACTGGACCTAATGGTCAGGGGTCCCTTTACCTTTACCTTATATCCATATATAGCTCATTGTTCCAGTTCAGGTTTTCATATGCTTCTCTGTGTTGTATCCTTTGAACTTGATTTTCCAACATCCAACAGCAGGACTTCGGCTCACTATGGGTAATGAGGGCATCACTGGGGCTGAGAGAAAGTCACGGCACCCCCTCTGTCTTGGGGGTGAAAGGGAAAGGCTTCTCAATATGTCCTTTTCCTCCTCTTCCTGGGCAGCGTTGAACTTGACAGCTCCTTCAACCGCACCTGTGTGACCTGTGGCCTGCAGCCCGGCTGCTCCTTTGTAGATGTCCGTTTCAGCCCCAGGATGGGGCATTTTATATTGTTCTGCAAAGGTGGGTTTTGGCAAGGGAAGACAGGTGCAAGACAAACTTGCGGATTTACCCAAATACATATATTTATATCTGCTTTTATTATGACATTTGGGCCTGTCTGACGGATGGATCAAAACTGTTAAGGTACCTTCCACGATGGATAGAAAGCTGAAATGTTGATGCATGCACACTCTGACTGCTTGTAAAGCATAGCTGTCAACCATCCCTTATTTGGCGGGAAAGTCCCTTATCCCAGCGCCGTGTCCTGCTGCTGTCCCTTATTGATGATGTCCCTTAAATTTCCCGGGTTTCAAAGGAAGCAGCTCCTCTCCCTCCCTCCCTGCCGGCCAGGGAGGAGGGAGGCTCCAACTGTGTTGCTTGGCTGCGTTGCTCACCCAATAAGGAGCCTAAGAACGACTGGGGGGTGGAGCTTGCATGCCTTGTGCCGATCAAATCAGCCATGTTGTCTGGGGACTCACCTTTGCTCAGCGCTTCCCAGCGGAGAGGTGACGGTGGTTTTCCTTGCTGCATCCCCTTTGCCGGGTTGCTGCGCTGTGGGAACCACCGAAAGAGGCTTCGTTTGGCCGCTGGCTGGGCTTTCTGCCTTTGGCTCGGAGGAGCTCAGAAGTTGAACATACCTGTGCTCTGAAAATCTGATCCCTTATTTTCGAGGCTGCTGGTCCCTTATTTTCAAATCTGTAAGTTGACAGCTATGTTGTAAAGTCCCAAAAAATTGCAGACAAATAGGAATGCCCTCTTAACTTACTTAAACAGTCTTCAGATTTGGGAAGGATGGGATTTTCAGTAGGGCACACAAACTGTGTGCGTGCATTTAGATACACACACACATATACACATTTTATCTAGAGCCAGAAGCTACTCAGGGCTGGCTATGAAGATGTTGCCAATTCTATGAGCAAAAAGAAAAGGGGGAAATGATAGATCCCTTTTTCAAGGGGTTCAAAGTCTAATGAAGGAAAGAAAGAGACAGATGGTCTCGAAGCAACACAACTCATTCACTTAAGCAAGTCCTGTATGCATGTAACAGTGTCCAGTTCTTATCTTGTGAATTGCCCAACATGGCCAATGGTTTGTTTACTACTGACCTGAGTTTTCTCCACCCCACAGGGCCTGGAGTCCCTCAAGTCTCTGTTCACCGCACAGCTAACCCCCGTGGTGAGTATCAGATTTGAAGGGGGGGGGGATTTGCTTTAAAAACAAACAGTGTTAGTCTGATGGGTGGTGGTAAATATGATCTGGATACTTTCTGAGACACAGTATATTTGTGTTGTGGTTCTGATTTGGTGACTGAGTGTGCATTGGTTTGGCGTATCCGAACCCATCTGTCTTCATGTATCCAGTGCTTTTCTCTGCACTGATCTCTCAACAGATCACAGGAGCAGGTGAAACCAGTTTGGGGAGACTATGTGGGCCATGTTCTCATTCTGTGTGTCTGATCAGCTCTGAGCTGATCGTGGCTGATTTTTCTGTGTCCAAAGGGAAGTTGTCCACCTGCTTTTCTGCCCCAACCTAAAGGATGTCAGCATCGCCCTTGAGCCAGTGCCACTAACTAGACTCATACACTTCAGCCCCGACTGGGCCAGGCGAGCTGGGTAGCACTTCCAGAGACCACCTTATGCACAGGAACAGGTCAAAGTGCTGTGGACTCACAGCTTAGAGTTGTGAGCACCGGATTCACTCCAACAAGAAGACAGTCGTCGCACAGCAGAGTATAGCAGAGTATAGCAGAGCATAAACGACTCGGAGAGCAGCTCTGTAGAATATCTTCTTTTATTCTATCTACAACTATTATACACAACTATGTACAGAGCTAAATGAGGTCTAAGCGAAAATGCTGAACTGCACTGAGTGTCTGCAGCTGCTCTTAGCAGCAACCTTATCTATACACACGATCTCTCTTTAACACTCAGTCTCTCTCTCTCTCTGACATGAGGTTGGAGCGGAATAAGTAGAGAGCAGAAACCGCCCCCTCCTCTCTGGAGAATCAGCAGAGAACATCAACAGATTCTTGGATATGGGAGGGGTGAAATCTCCTCAAAGAAGAGTTCTGTGTTATATGAAAACATATTTGCTACGTTGTTCACCTTGGTCTCAATAACGGTTGTCATTTACTTCCCACGTGAGTTACATAATGAGGAAACACTTTTAGCCTTGTGCCTAATAGCTGCAGTTAAGCCCTATTCCCTTGAATTCAAGGTCAGATTTTTAAAAGCAGCTTTGCCCCTCGTTATCGCACCATCCTGCACCAGTGAGTTCCAGAGATCTGCTATATTTATGGGGGAACTACTGTTTCTAAAAGACTGGCATCCACAACTGACTTGTGTAGGGAGTTGCCCAAGTGCGACTAACGGTGTTGGTATCTGTCTCATTCCTGGCTCCCAGACTTCCTTCTCCTAGAAGAGAACCGCCTTTTGCACGATGCCCTTATGCATAAAGAGATGCCGTTGGTGGAATTCAGGTCGTTTCGACTTGCTAACTACGGTGAGGATGCAAAGGTTGTCCCTCTACTTCCCAAGCCCCTCACAGGAAGTTCATTGCATGGCTGTGATCATAAGAAGCATGCTACTGGATCGAGACCAAAGGCCTCTCCTCCTATATTCAGTCACATTTTTTTTTCTTGTTTCCCTTACGACTCAGACCTGTCTGTGCGTGTGACCCTGCCGCCGCCACACCAGTGTGCCTTCTGTCCATTGCTACTGCTGCTGTGAGTAGTGGGGAGGAGGGAGAAATAAGATTCAGATTTCATTTAAAGGCAAAGTTATCCAATCTGCACATTCCAAAACTAAACCAAAAATAACCCCGCTCTCTGGATTTTGCCCTTAGTCTGTTTTGGCAATGCAGCTGTCCAACTGATCAATGCTTATAAAAATGCATACATTAGGAGAAAGCATGCACAAAGATTTACCGTATTTTTCGCTCCATGGGGCGCACCGGACCATAGGGCTCACCTAGTTTTTAGGGGGGGAATTAAGGGGGGAAAGTTTATTTTTTCCCCAGCCCCAAAGTGCAAAGAACCCCCGCGGCTAAAAAGCTCGGGCTTCCCCTGCCCCAGCCCTGCGGCTAAAAACAAAGCCAAGACAGCGAGCAGGATCCATCCCGCTGGCTGTCTTGGTTTCCTCTTTAGCCACATGCAACTTCTCCAGCTGGGAGAGGCTGCGCGCGGCTTTGGCAGACGCCAAGACAGCGAGAGGGATGGATCCTGCTCGCGGTCTTGGCTTCGCTTTTAGCCGTGGGGCTGGGGCGGGGGAAGCCCGAGCTTCCCCCGACCCCAGCCCCCAGAACAGGTTGCTATCCACAAGCCTTCGGAGCCCGGCAGGAACTCCTGCCACACTCTGAAGGCTTGCGGATAGCTCCCTGAAGCCTGGAGAGCAAGAGGGGTCGGTGCCTCTCGCTCTCCAGGCTTCAGCGAAAGCCTGCATTCGCTCCATAGGACACACACACATTTCCCCTTCATTTTTGGAGGGGGAAAAGTGCGTCCTATAAAGCGAAAAATACGGTAAATCATGGGTAGGCAAACTAAGGCCTGGGGGCCAGATCCAGCCCAGTCGCCTTCTAAATCCACACCGTGGACAGTCCGGGAATCAGTGTGTTTTTACATGAGAAGAATGTGTGCTTTTATTTAAAAAGCATCTCTGGGTTATTTGTGGGGCATAGGAATTCGTTCATTCCCCCCCCCAAAAAATAAATAAATTGTCCAGCCCCCTACAAGGTCTGAGGGACAGTGGACTGGCCCCCTGCTGAAAAAGTTTGCTGACCCCTGATTTAAATGTTAGTGGGAATGACATGCAAAAAAATGCCTTCTTGCAGAAGTGTGTCCATTAAGCAAAACTGCATACAGAAATGTCTTTATTGGGTGGGGGGTGGGGAATTAAACTAAGAAGCTGAATAATTTTTGGGTGGATTCCAAAAGAGAAAATCCATAAACTGCTGCAGGAATGCAAAGAGTTGGATTTGATACTGGAGAAATCGGAAACAGAGAGAACTCTAACTGACTGTTCCTTCCATCCCTAGCTGTGAGTGGCATGCCAGCTTAGCCTTGCCTCCATGCCGTTTTGTCCTCACAGCTGTGAATTCATTAATGAATCAGCAGGGAGAGGAGGAAGCTAGAAGATGTCTAAGTTGCTGCATCCAGTACAGATAGGGGGAGAAAATGGACTGGGAGGGAGAGGGGAACCTTCATTTTGACAGGGAATTATGGCAGAGGTACCTTTCCCCCCTGCTATCCCTGTGGAAATTTGTAAAAAAATTAAAATTAAAAAAAAAGAGCTCCGTCCCAGAGCTGTTGGTTTGGGTTCCACTTTAGGTGCAAACATATCCTAGGCCACTAGCTGGTAGGTGTAACATTAATCCATGTTCTAACCTCTGATTGCTTTTTCCCCCCAGCCCAGAATCCCCAGGAGGCCAGCTGGCCACTGAGGAATTCCACCTTGATTGGGACACTGTCCTGTCTAGCTCTTTGGGTGCTGTGGTGGTCCAGTTCGATGCCCGGGGATCTAGAAACCAAGGACTCAAGCTGCTGCATGAGGTCAACCGCCAGCTGGGCTCCTTGGATGTCAAGGACCATGTAGCTCTCATGCGGTAAGGACGCCTGAGCCTCACATTTTAATACTATTGCTTAACACAGGGCCGGCCCTGCTATTAGGTAGAGTGAGGAAGCTGGTTTTGGGCGTACTGTACTCTGAAAGGGACGGCAAAGTCTTTGCTAGTTGATTTATCGTTGTTCTATTTTTTGCCAGCAGCGAGAGAGGCAGTTGTGAGCTTTTCTGTCTCAGGTGCCAAATAACTTAGCCAGTCTTGGGGACAATGAACCTAGGGTTGGAAAGGAAACAGAAGCTCTGCCTCAAGCAGCAAAATGTCTTGGGTCTACAGCAGGGTTCACTGAGGTTGGGGGGCCAATGGGCACATTTGGAATTTTGAGAGTGTGCCATGGGTGCCAGTCACAAAATGGGGGGCAGGTGTAGCATAAAACAAAATGGCTGCCACATCTAAAAGAGCAGAATGGGAGAGAGGGTGGGTGTCCTATCTTGGCATCCAGTGGAATGTAGGCATGTTTAAGGGGGGGGTTGTTCTCAGTGTAGGAGAAGCTGAGCTAATTCAACCAGGAACTGAGCAGGAAGAGCAAACCGTCTCTTGTGCATTATGGATTTTTGAGATGTTTACTGAGAACTTTTGTGGGCTTAATAGGAGATCCTGGTGGGCACGCTGGTGCCCGTGGGCACCACGTTAGTGACCCCTGTTCCACAGGATAGATTATGGGATGTGAGCCAGTAATTCCAAACCTATCTCCCGCTCCTGGGTCTGCATACCAGTTGAAAGAAAAAAATTTGATCACTACTTCCATATCAGCCAGTCACGATCATCCCTTGAGACAAGAGGCAGATTCAACTCTTTCTGTTTTTCCTATTTCAAAACGGATTGCAGCTTTACTTATTTGTCTCCACAGCCTTTCATGCAGCTGGAGATCTTTTTGTGCCAAGCATGGCCTGTATCCTAAATTGCAGGGCAATGCTATGTATATACAGTGGTACCTCGGTTTTCGAACATAATCCGTTCCTTAAGAAACGTTCAAAAACTGAGGCGCTAATTCAATAGAGAAAATTGAAGAAAACTCAGTGGAAGCTATTTGACTTCTGACATTCGTTCAAAAAACGGAAGCATTTGCTTCCACGTTTTCGGTGTTTGAAAACCAAAATGTTCGACTTCCAAGACGTTTGAAAACCAAGGTACAACTGCATATATATACTCAGAAGTAAGCCCTGTGAAGATGGGACGCGGGTGGTGCTGTGGGTTAAACCACAGGCCTAGGACTTGCTGATCAGAAGGTCGGTGGTTTGAATCCCCGCGACGGGGTGAGCTCCCGTTGCTCGGTCCCTGCTCCTGCCAACCTAGCAGTTTGAAAGCACGTCAAAGTGCAAGTAGATAAATAGGTACCGCTCCGGCAAGAAGGTAAACAGCGTTTCCGTGCGCTGCTCTGGTTCGCCAGAAGCGGCTTAGTCATGCTGGCCACATGACCCGGAAGCTGTACGCTGGCTCCCTCGGCCAGTAAAGCGAGATGAGCACCGCAACCCCAGAGTCGGTCACGACTGGACCTAATGGTCAGGGGTCCCTTTACCTAAGCCCTGTGAAGTTCAGTAGGACTCACTCTTCAGTAACTGGATTTAGGTTTGCAGTCTGCATATTTCTCCCATCACATTTTTAAGACTATTACACTCTGCAGACTAGGGCTTTCCCCCTCAGTCTTGCCCAGCAGCATAATTTCCCCCTCTTCACCTCTCCACATTTTTTGTATTTGACATCCAACCTGATTAAGAATTTCAATGAGCTTAAATGGCTTACTCACTTTTTTGCAACTGCTTAGTTGGGGCTTAGCAAAGCAATGTCCCTATTGCAGTGTTTCCCAACCGGTGTTCCGCGGCACACTAGTGTGCCGCGAGACGTTGCCTGGTGTGCCGTGGGAGGGAGGCGGGCGAGTCGGGCGGCGAGAGGCGGGGCGGCGGCGGCGAGGATCCGCGTCGAGCCGGGGGCGGCTCCGCGGTGGTGGTGCCGAGGTTTCTCTCTCCATTCTCCCCTCACACACACACACAGGAAATAACACAGGATCAGCTGACAGGACCCGGCCAATGGGGCGGCGGCGGGGCAGCGCGCGCAAAAGGGAGGAGCGCGAGACAGCGGACGAGGAGGAGGCCGGCATGTCCGGGCAGCAGCAGCAACAACAGCAGCAGCAACTCCCGGCGATGGCTCCTCAAGCCCCGGGCAACCCTACTCCCTCACTGCCCTCGGCCGCCCTCCTGCTCCACCCGCCGCCGCCGCCGGCCACCTCTGCCCCGCCGCCCCATTTCTGGAGAGGTCGAGAGAGGGCCCTGTCGCCCGAGGGCTCCCCTCCAGCCCGCTCTCCTCGGCAGACATCCTCGCTCGCTCGCGCCCCGTCCCGCCCTCGCCGCTCCAAGGCTTCCCCGCTTCCCTCCCCTCCTCCACTGACGCAGTCCGTGCTGCACCAGATCCTAACATGGCGGCGGCGAGGTGGTGAAGAGCGCGGCGGCGACGGCGGCGAAAGGAGACTCCGGGCCGAGCGGGCAAGCGCGGCGGCGGGCGGGCGGGTGAGTGGCTTGAGCCGGGCTTTCTTCCGCTCGAGGGGCCGCGGCGTCGCCGCCGGCGAATATTTAAGGGCCTCGTGGTGAGGGGGGGAAAGGGAGCAATGGCGCGGGAGGCGAGAGGGCTCGGTCCTCTCTCTCCATTTGAATCTGCCTCGCGAGGGGCGGCGGGCAGGCTCCCTCACGGCCAACTCGGCAGAGGGCTCGGCCGGCCCGAGTGTCGCCCCCTCAACAAGTCCCCGGGTGGGCCGTTGGGGAAGGCGGGGGGAAGACGAGAGGTAGTTTCTCGGCGGGGAATGACTTGAGGGAGAAGCGCGAGGCCTTGAATGTGGAGGGTCTTCCCGCGATTCAATCTCCGGGAGACGCGGAACGGGTTCGGGTGGGCAAACTTGGGAGGCCGCGCGGGAGGCGGTTTCAAGAACCGTTGCAAATAGTTATGAATGAAAGCGGGCGCTCACGTCCCTGTAATTAAAGGGGGGCGGCGGAAAGGAAGGTGGCCTGGCAGTTGGCTTTAAAAATAATACCTTAGCTAGAGGCAAGAAGTCGCGGGATAAACGTGCACAGGAGCGGGGAGGGATAGGGGAGTAAGCCCATGGCCCAAAGGAAACATTTTGCACACTCCGAAGTGTGATAAAAAGCTACGTGATATTGTTGTGCCTATACTGATTCCTCCCCGCCCCCGTCCCCAAAATGCTGTATGCAGGTTGATAGTAGACAGGCTCCAGTAGAAAGCACAAAGTTTAAAAACAAAAACAAAAAAACCACCACAGGCTATTTGACAATGTAGGGGTCTTTTATTCGAGAACTGGATCACTTTGCTCGTCTCTGTTTGGAAAGAAGTTATGTGCAGTGTGACATGTATGCAATGGTAAAATAAAGGAGCAGATTAATGTGCTTTGCTTTCTGAAACTGCATTCTGAAATGTAAGGGGAACGGGCCTTTCCAGAAACATCTGTAAGGCTTGCTTTCTCACCAAGTTCCTTTATCAATGGAAGGAAGAAGTGTGTTGGGACTGATGCATTTCAAGTCATTCAAAATGATCACAGCCAAGTTTGCAGGTGACTCCCAAATTATTCAGGATGGTGAAGGCCACAGTAGACTCTCCGTATGTGGTGAAGGGGCAGCAAAATGGCAAATGAGTTTCAATGTAAGTGTAAAATCATGCACACCAAGGCAAAAGAAAGAAAGAAGAGATAAAAGTTGATGGTTGGGATCTTAATTGGTTGTGACTGACTGCTATAAGAGGTTTGTGGTAGTGGTGGACGGCTCACTGTAACAGAGGAAGCAGTGAAAAAAGGTAGGCTGTTGGACATTATTAGGAAAGGGACTAAAATATAAAATTCTGTTGCCATAGTGCAGGGGTTGGAAACCTAAGGCCCACGGGGGTCATTTAACCTGCCATGAGCTGCCCCTGAACCGAGCTGCCCACTCGGCGAGTCCTGCCATGCTGTACTAAACCAGCATGGCATGGGGACTCGCTTCCACAGTGCCGAAAATCACGTCTGCACAGATGCCGAAAAATGCGAGTGCGCGGGCGATCCGGCCCACGAAGGGATCTCCGCTGGAGTGAACCGGCCCAGGCTAGGTAAACCTTGCCAACCCCTGCCATAGTGCATATTCCAGCCATACTCCTCCGCCCGCTATCGCCGCCACCACCACAGCAGCCGCCGCTGCCTCAGCTGGGCCCATGCCTGCCGGGAGCGGCGGCGGCAGCAGCAGCAGCGCCCCGGCGCCCTTCCCTCACGGCGGCGACCCGGCCCTGAACGAGCAGGAGAAGGAGCTCAAGTGACGCTGCGCGCTGACGTCACGGGGCTGTAATGGTGGTGTGCCTCGAGATTTTTTTCATCAAACAAGTGTGCCTTTGCCCAAAAAAGGTTGGGAAACACTGCCCTATTGTTCCCTTTGCACGTTGGAAGTAAGGAATTCGTTATTTCCCCCCCTTTGCTGGTGCTCCGAGTCCCTGACCCTCCTGCCTATCTGATACTATGAGGGACCAATAACAGAGACCAGATAAGATTGGGAAGCATTCATGTGCACACCCACCCACCCACATCAACACATTGATTTGTTGCAGTTCTGCAGCAAGGGATTTAACATGAAAGAAGGAGCTAAAGGCATGGGGCTGTTTTGGAGGTTTGAACCTATGGGTGGAAAAGACTATTTATGTATGCTACTATTACATCCTGTGTTTCGTTAGCCCAAAAATGGAAAATGGGTGAGGTCCCAACTAAAGAAGAATGGCAACTTAAACTGATGGAATATGTGCAGCTTGTGGACTGAACATATAGAATAAGAGAACAAGAAGAACATACGTTTGAAGAAGATTGGGAAATGTTTATTGAATATAGTGGGGGAAACTGTGTACACTTGAAAACAGTATAATAATAATAATTTTTATTTATACCCTGCCCTCCCCAGCCAAGGCCGGGCTCAGGGCGGCTAACAAGCAATAATAAAAACAAGTTGAATGAATACAACTTAAAAACAATATTAAAAAACAACATTAAAATATTGAAACATTAAAATTTTGTGGCATTCATACGGAGCCCCCGGTCATCTCATGGATTATTGACCCATACACCACTAATCCACTGCCACCAACCAGGTCCTCCCAGTAAAATCACTTCAGTCGCAGTCAGGTTATCAATTAATAAAGAAGAGTGTATTTTATTTAATACATAAACAAACTTTTACGGCATTCTAAACGTTGTTACTCTTTACTTGTCTTATTTTCCTCTCTTGATCTCTTCTACCTTCCCTCATTGGCAGCATTAAGATAAATTCAACAGTGTAAACAAGTTTTGATGGCTGTATTAATGGAATACTGAACGGTTTAAAAAGGTAAAGGACCCCTGACAGTTAAGTCCAGTCGCAGACGACTCTGGGGTTGCGGCGCTCATCTCACTTTACAGGCCGAGGGAGCCGGCGTTTGTCCATAGACAATTTTTCCGGGTCATGCAGCCAGCTTCTGGCTGCTTCTGGCGCAATGGAACACTGAAACCAGAGCAGCACATGGAAAGGCTGTTTACCTTTCCGCCGGAGTGGTACCTATTTATCTACTTGCACTTTTTGGTGAGCTTTCGATCTGCTAGGTTGGCAGGAGCTGGGACCGAGCAACAGGAGCTCACTCTGTCCCAGATATTCGAACCGCCGACCTTCTGATCGGCAAGCCCAAGAGGCTCAGTGGTTTAGACCACAGCGCCACCTGCGTCCCTTTTTACTGAATGGTTTAGTTTATATAAAATATGCAGGGATTTATGATATGCACATTGAACCATGGAAAGAGAAGAAGGGAAGCCATTGACATCTTCAGGTTGTTGAATGAATATTTTAAGATGTAAAATAGAAAACGTAATATGCCAGCCAGGGAGAAGGGCAGTGGTGGCGGCTGGCAGATGATGCCAGGAGCAGCGGGTTGCACAAACATGTTTCCCCCTCCTTGTGTTGCAGGTGGCTGCTGCAGCTTCCCTACGTGGATCGCAGGCGCACAGCCGTCTACGGGAAGGTAAACCACACGGTCCTTTGCCTCCTGAGAACATGATGCTCCTCTCTGCCTGCACCCTGCGACCGCACAGTTCATACCTTGTGTCAGGGATGGGGAACTTGTGGCCCTCCTAGATGTTGTTGGATACACCCATCAGCCCCAGCTTGCATGGGCAGCGGTGATGGGTGTTGTGGTCTAACAACAGTGGAACTATAAGTTCCCCATCCCTGATTTAAATGTTCCGCCACTGACAGAAATTTCATTTGCGGTTTTGTTGCTGTTTTCAAGCTGCGGTTGTTCTTTTTAAAAGTTCAAAGTGTTACACGGCACGCTGCTTTAAAAAAAAATTGAAACATGGAATAAAACGTTTTGAATGAATAACCAAGTCCATCCTTTTAAAACGTATCTTTGCTTTTGTGTAGGCCTATGGAGGCTTTTTAGCACTGAAGCTCATGGCAACAGCAGAAGACCTCTTTAAATGCGGAACTGGTGTGGCACCCATTACTAGCTTCCGTTTCCACGGTGAGTAGCAGTAAAGACGGTCTGGTTTTCTTTCTTTTTCTTTTTTAAAAAAAGGAATCTAAATTTTGCACCACGATATACTCTGTGAAAAGGGATGAATTCTGCTGCATGTATAAATCATGCAGTTTCACTGGAAAATACAACAGTGAAGCAACAAAACCTTGGACCTGCTATGGCCTCGGTCCAGTATACCTGTAGCAGCATCTCCACCCCCATCATTCTGCCTGGACACTGGGGTTCGGCTCCGAGGGCCTTCTTGTAGTTCCCTCACTGTGAGAAGTGAGGTTACAGGAAACCAGGCAGAGGGCCTTCTTGGTGGTGGCGCCCGTCCTGTGGAACGCCCTCCCATCAAGGAAATAAACAACTACCTGACTTTTCTAAAAGACACCTGAAGGCAGCTCTGTTTAGGAAAGTTTTTAATGCTTGATGTTTTATTGTACTTTTAATTCTGTTGGGAGCGGCCCAGAGTGGCTGGGGAAACGCAGCCAGACGGGCGGGGTAGAAATAATAAATTATTATTATATTTTATATGGGGGGGGGCGATGATGGACCTCCAGTCAAGTCTCATTGTCCATTTCACTGCTTTGGGGTTCTGCAGCTGTACTGGGGAGGTGTTTATTGGAAGAAGCGACTCCAAAGATCCCTTAACTCTTGTCTCTTGCCACAGCTGCCACCTTCTCCGAACGCTACCTGGGGATGCCAGCCCGGGAGGATGCTGCCTACACGGTACGGAGAAAGGAGCAGGAAATAGGGCCTGTTACTTGTGCCTTCCTCCCCCCCCCCCTTCTTGCATACTGAATGAGGTAGGGTCTGGCACAGGGCCGGATTTAAGTCTGATGAGGCCCTAAGCTACTGAAGGTAATGGGGCCCTTTATATGTCCAGCTGTCCTTTGTCAACAGCAAAATTGTCGCTGTTTTTTGTGTTGAATATATGCTATATGGTAATTTATGGACCTAACAGGTATCTAAAGCCATTTGCACATGCAGAATGTAGGCACCCTATATATAGAAATGAGCAAACCAGTGATATTTTAGGGAGCAGGCTAGCAGGCGGCAGGGCCCATGACTTACATCATAGGAGCCTACACAACACAAAACACTGTTGCTGTATGTAGGTTTTATTTTATTTGTTTTTTATCTTATATTTTGGAAATGTACATGCAAGTTTTTTTCCCCTTTAATTTTTTGGGGGGCCCCAAGAGAGTGGGGCCCTAAACTATAGCTTGTTTAGCTTATATGTAAATCCGGCACTGGTCTGGCAGGTCTTATTTCTCAAGCATTACTTGACTGCCCCTTTCGTAGAGAAGTCCCCCTGAATCTGCAAGCAACACTGGCATGCTCAGGCTGTGTGAACCAAGTCCATCCTTTTTCTTTCCCAAGGTGTGCGAGTGTCACTTGCCCTACTGGGCAGGTGGAGAGATTTCTCCCACGCTCTCAAAACTCCTCTAAATGACAGAACACCTTCATTAGTTGTCCACGTGGGTGGCGCTGTGGGTTAAACCAGAGCCTAGGACTTGCTGATCAGAAGGTCAGCGGTTTGAATCCCTGCGAGGGGGTGAGCTCCCGTTGCTCGGTCCCTGCTCCTGCCAACATAGCAATTCGAAAGCACGTGAAAGTGCAAGTAGATAAATAGGGACCGCTCCAGTGGGAAGGTAAACGGCGTTTCCGTGCACTGCTCTGGTTCGTCAGAAGCGGCTTAGTCATGCTGGCCACATGACCTGGAATCTGTACGCCGGCTCCCTCGGCCAGTAAAGCGAGATGAGCGCCGCAACCCCAGAGTCGGCCACGACTGGACCTAATGGCCAGGGGTCCCTTTACCTTTACTATGTCCCCTGAAGACTCTTGGGGACTGTAGTTTACTAAGAGTGCTGCGAATTGTGGCCCTGTTGAGGGGTAGACAACATACCCAGGATCCTTTAGGAGGAAGATTTGCTTTATTTAGCCGTATTAATTTCTGAAAATCCCTACCCCACACTGTCTAGGTCAAAGAGTGCTTGCAGAAGTTTGCAGAAAAACTTGCACACAAAACAAAACAATAAAACACCATTGTGAATGGGGAAAAAAATAAGTGACTCCATTGTAAAAGGAAGGCCTAACATATCGCTGATGTAGTGCAGGCCCACAGCTGAGCTGGCAAACACAGAATCCTCAGCTGTCACATTTCGTTGTTTTTTTATAATTTTCAGTTTTATACATTTCAGTAATTTTACAATCATTTTAACATTTCAAAACTTGACTTCCTTCCCCTTCTTTCTGCGGTTCATTAAATTTATTTCTAATATTTTATGCATATCCAAATTAACTTAATTTGTTCATTTATCCATCTACTTTAAATATATACTCTTATAAAACTGCGGGTGATTACAATAATCCTGCCAATGTTCTTATCTGTTTACAGTTTGTTCGTAAATATCCCATAAACCATTTCCATTCTTTTATAAAAAGCTTGTGATTTTGATTTCTTATTTCTCCGGTAAGTTTCGCCATTTCTGCATATTCCATGAGTTTTTGTATCCATTCTTCTTTTGCTGGGACCCCAGAGAAGAAAGGAGAAAGGAAATGGAAAGGAAATGAGGTGTTACATTTTGAACCCGTTTCTCTGGTGCTACCTCCTCAGTGGCTGCCAGCTTCCCCATTCCACTTGCCCCACGAAATCACCAATTACCGTATTTTTTGCTCTATAAGACTCACTTTTTCCCTCCTAAAAAGTAAGGGGAAATGTGTGTGCGTCTTATGGAGCGAATGCAGGCTGCGCAGCTATCCCAGAAGCCAGAACAGCAAGAGGGATCGCTGCTTTCGCTGCGCAGCGATCCCTCTTGCTGTTCTGGCTTCTGAGATTCAGAATTTTTTTTTTCTTGTTTCCTCCTCCAAAAACTAGGTGCGTCTTGTGGTCTGGTGCATCTTATAGAGCGAAAAATACGGGGTTTGGGTTTTTTTTTGCCAGCTGTGTATCCATGCGTGATTTGCCAGAACCTACAACACGTCCGTGCAGAGGTTTGGCTGCTTGCCTCCAATTCCTGCTGGCACAAGTGCACTCCTGACTTATAACATGATTGCGCAGGAAAAGCTTTCCCTGTTGCTGCTGCAAAGGAGCAGAGTGGGGAGGGAGACAGATATTTTGGTGCTTCGTTCCTGCCTCTTCCACCCTTTTCCTTTTCCTCCCTCCAGATGGCCTCTGTGTTGGAGGAAGCGCCCCACCTCAAGGACAGAAATGTCCTCCTTGCCCACGGAACTGGAGATGGTAAGTTTGACCTCTCCATTGACTCTCCCACTCACCCATCCCATCCCCTAACAATGATCTTCAGGTTGACTCCAGGGTTTTGGGGGTGGAGCTGGGAACAATGTACTGGAATGGGCTCCTTCCCAGTTGCCTCCTTATACAGGAAGATAGGAAGGGGCCTTATAATACCTTCTGCACTCTGTCAGTGGATCTCCAGGATTTCAGACAGAGGACTCTCCCAGATCTACCTGGAGATGCTGGCGCTGTGGTCTGAACCACTGAGCCTCTTGAGCTAGCCAATTGGAAGGTCGGCGGTTCGCATCCCTGTGACGGAGTGAGCTCCCATTGCTCTGTTCCATCTCCTGCCAACCTAGCAGTTCGAAAGCATACCAGTGCAAGTAGATAAATAGGTACTGCTGTGGCGGGAAGGTAAACAATGTTTCAGTGCACTCTGGGTTCCATCACGGTGTTCCATTGCGCCAGAGGCGTTTAGTCATGCTGACCACATGACCCGGAAAGTTGTCTGTGGACAAACGCCGGTTCCCTTGGCCTGAAAGCGAGATGAGCGCAGCAACCCCATAGTTACCTTTGACTGGACTTAACCATCCAGGGGACCTTTACCTTTACCTTCTGTGCACAAAGCACATGTTCTACCATTGAGCTACAGACAGACCTTTCCCATGTTTTCCCCTTGGGAGCAATGTCCTTAGTGGGTTTCCTCCCTGAGTTGGCTTACCTCTTCCCTATTCGTTTCTGCCCATTTGTCTATGTCCTCTTCCTTTGGGTCCAGTCTGTGCATCTGCCCACAGGGAAAGAGCACGGGCAGTGGAAGCCATTGTTCCTTCCCCTTGTTCCTGCCGCCGGAGTGGGGAGGTGAGGGAGAAGCAGCAGTAGGGATTCCCCACACACTGCACTGAGGACTACAGTGGTACCTTGGGTTAAGATCTTAATTCATTCTGGAGGTCCGTTTTTAACCTGAAACTGTTCTTAACCTGAAGCACCACTTTAGCTAATGGGGCCTCCTGCTGCTGCCGCCACTGCACGATTTCTGTTCTCATCCTGAAGCAAAGTTCTTAACCCGAGGTACTATTTCTGGGTTAGCGGAGTCTGTAACCTGAAGCGTATGTAACCTGAGGTACCACTGTACAGGGGGGCACACGTTGGCAGTGGTTGGGGGCAGAGCCAAAAGTGGGTAAGGCACTTTTGCATGTGTGCATGTGTGTCTTCCTCCCTGTGTCACCCCTTTTTCTCTCTCAGACACATCATTTCCCCTTATGTTCCCCCTCTCCTCCGCTTCTTTGGCACCCTTGTGAAATTAGTCCAAGCTATGCATGAAATTAAGGGACGCGGGTGGCGCTGTGGGTTAAACCACAGAGCCTAGGACCTGCTGATCAGAAGGTTGGTGGTTCAAATCCCCGCGACGGGGGGAGCTCCTGTTGCTCGGTCCCTGCTCCTGCCAACCTAGCAGTTCAAAAGCACGTCAAAGTGCAAATAGATAAATAGGTACCGCTGCAGCGGGAAGGTAAACGGCGTTTCCATGCTCTGCTCTGGTTTGCCAGAAGCGGCTTAGTCATGCTGGCCACATGACCCGGAAGCTGTATGCCAGCTCCCTCAGCCAGTAAAGTGAGATGAGCGCCGCAACCCCAGAGTCGGCCATGACTGGACCTAACGGTCGGGGTCCCTTTACCTTTATGCATGAAATTAGACTCAGGCCCAGGTTTCCCACCCCTAGTTAAGTGGTTTTTCTCTCCAGGAATGATCACAGAGTTGGAAGGGACTCCTAGGGTCAACCCCCTGCAATGTAGGAATCTCAGCTAACGCATTTGTTATAAGAAAAAACCTGCTCCTTTTCCCCTTATGGGGTGTCCAAGAGCCAGTATAAAGTCCTTAAATGGGTTCCCTATCAGTAGGAGAAAATAACAGAGACCAACCAGAGTATATTGAGAAGCAAAGCAGTTAGTAAGCCTGATCTTTATTAAACCGTTGCAACTTGCCACATGCAGGAGGGAGGAGAACCCTGAACAATAGTGTGCAAGCCCTTATATAGACTTTCTGAAATTGCCCACCCTGTAGCTCAAGACCACCCCCCATCCTACATACATCACCAGATGTATCCTGTCTGCCAGGATGTCTGTTAATGGTCACTGATTGCTTTACCTGGGCAGCCTGGCCATTCTTTTGTGGATGGTTAATACTTTAATAATGGTGACAGCAGTCACGAAATTAAAAGACGCCTGCTGCTTGGGAGAAAGGCGATGGCAAACCTAGACAACATCTTAAAAAGCAGAGACATCACCTTGCCAACAAAGGTCCGTATAGTAAAAGCCATGGTTTTCCCAGTAGTGATGTATGGAAGTGAGAGCTGGACCATAAAGAAGGCTGATCGCCGAAGAATTGATGCTTTTGAATTATGGTGCTGGAGGAGACTCTTGAGAGTCCCATGGACTGCAAGAAGATCAATCCTACCCATTCTGAAGGAAATCAGCCCTGAGTGCTCACTGGAAGGACAGATCCTGAAGCTGAGGCTCCAATACTTTGGCCACCTCATGAGAAGAGAAGACTCCCTGGAAAAGACCCTGATGTTGGGAAAGATGGAGGGCACAAGGAGAAGGGGACGACAGAGGACGAGATGGTTGGATGGTGTTCTTGAAGCTACCAGCATGAGTTTGATCAAACTGCGGGAGGCAGTGGAAGACAGGCGTGCCTGGCGTGCTCTGGTCCATGGGGTCACGAAGAGTCAGACACGACTAAACGACTAAGCAACAACAACAACAACACTTTAATTCCTGAATCCAGGTCAAAGACTCACCCTATTCATACACAAATATGCCCTTAAGACAGGATTTGCAACTGAAAAGGCAATGGGAAGGTTTTCCCATTTCCCTCCCTTACTGCAGAGGAATATTTGAGGTCACTGGGAGAGTCAAAAGGGCTTCAAGATTGTTCTCCTGTCCTATTTCAGAAACGTGGTTTATATACTTATGTATGTGTTTGCCTTGTAAATTTATGTACATTTAATTTATATTTGAGACCTTAGAATTCTTATAACGCATCCATGACAGGTGGCTCTATCCATGCTAGAAAGGGATTGGATTGGATTGATCTTTATTACGGCCATTGGCCCGTCACAGCTAGAAAGGGTTTTTCCATATGCCAAAGCCACCCCTTCTTGTCACCAGTTTTTCTTACTGCAAATTGGCCTTTCAGAAGGGAGCCTACAGAGAGACAGACAGATGCCAATCAGATGTGCTACCCATTGTCTCACATTCTCCCTCTTTCCTCTGGCAGCCACAGTGCATTTCCAGCATACAGCTGAACTTCTTATCCGGCTTCTAGCTGCGGAGTCTAACAACTACACTACCCAGGTAGGATTGATTCGGAAAGAGGGAACAGGTTTCTGGCAGTGAGGAACTGCTCTTTGTGCCCCACCAGACTGGTGTGGGTTTTTCTTTTTTTGCAAGTGTATTCTGCAATTATGCTGGAGGTGATTTTATGCTGAACCCTCCATGTATCATTCTTCCTTATTAAGATGTTTTGTGATGTTTCTACAACATTGCTGCATTATCGCTGTGTGGAGGGGCACTCCTGAACTGTGATGCAACAAAAGCAGGGCAACCCCACACACTGAAACATTAGCGGTAATGTAAAGTTACGGGATTTCAGGAAAAACCAATTGGAAATGAAGCAATCTGACCAACCCAAAACAGTTTCAGGTTGCAAACGGTACAGGTCGCCCTGTCTGATTACGTCTGTTGGGAGAGAGACAGGGGTGTGTGTCCCTGTTAATTCTCCTTGATCTCCAGGCGGCATTCGATACCATTGATTAGTGCATCTTTCTGGAGCAGCTGTTGGGAAGTGGGGTTCGGCAGCACTGTGCGGTGGTTCTGATCCAATTTGGATGTTTTTTTCCAGAGGGTGGTGGTACTTTTATGTATATTAACATTTTATGCATTTATTTCAGATTTACCATATTTTTCGCTCTATAAGACGCACTTTTCCCCCTTCAAAAATTAAGGGGAAATGTGTGTGCGTCATATGGAGCGAATGCAGGCTCCTTGGCTTCAGCGATAGCAATGCGAAGCCTCCAAAGTGCAGAGGGAGAGCTCCCCCCCGAGCTCCGGAGGCTTCACGTTGTTTTCGCTGAAGCCGCCTGAAGCCCCTGGAGCGCAGCGGGAACTCCTGCTGCGCTCCGGGGGCTTCAGGCAGCTATCCGCAAGCCTTCGGAGTGCAGCAGGAGTTCCCGCTGCGCTCCAAAGGCTTGCGGATATCTGCCTGAAGCCTGGAGAGCAAGAGGGGTCGGTGCATACCAATCCCTCTTGCTCCCCAGGCTTCGCTTCGCTGGAGAGGCGCTGCACAGTTTTCCCTCTCTGCGCAGCACCCCTTCAGCAAAGCGGGAGGAGTAATGGAAGGGGCTCCGTTTCTCCTGCCGCTTCGCTGAAGGGCCTCTGAGCAGAGAGGGGGAGATTTTTTTCCCCCTATTCTCCCCCTCCTATGGTCCGGTGCGTCCTATAGAGCAAAAAATATGGTAAATGGAAATTTTTTATACCTCGGAAGTCAAATGCTTTGCAAGTCGAACGTTTTGGCTCCCGAACGCTGCAAACCCGGAAGCGAGTGTTCCGGTTTGCAAACGTTCTTTGGAACCCGAATGTCCTCTGCGGGTTCCGATTGGCTGTGGGAGATTCCTGCAGCCAATCGGAAGCCGTGCCTTGGTTTCCGAACGTTTTGGAAGTCGAACACACTTCCGGAATGGATTTTGTTCGACTTCCGAGGTACGACTGTATTGCGAGTTGCTTTGAGTTTACTTTTTGTAAAAGAAAGAGAAGTGACTAATAAGGACAAGAAGCAACAAAAACAGCAACGTACAAAAGCTGGGATGCCGTGATGAGCACAAATTGCGAATGTAGAATGAAAAAGATAACTGGAGGTTGTTTTCCTACACAGGATTGCAAGAAAATATTCCAGATTGTAAGGTCCCTCTGGTATTGTGTTAAAGCGTCGTGCCAAACTGATGGTGCTATAGAATAAAAAAGGAAACTTCCCTAACCTTGTGGTATCTGTTCCCCAGATCTACCCAGATGAAGGCCACACATTCGAGTCCAGCCAGCGCCACCTCAGCCAGAGGCTCTTCTCCTTCTTCCGGAGCTGCTTTGAGGATCCGAAGCATGCACATCTGTTATCTGATGAAGATGAGGACCCGTAGTGTTTTTCCCAGTGAGGGACACTGAGGATCGCCAGCTGCTGCTGATTTCACTTGCCCTTTTCTTTGCTGCACTGGCAACTCACGGCAGCACTTTTGCACATCCCACGGACCTGCACTTTGTGTGTGTTCTGCATTAAGCACATCGTTTGGCGCTGCCGATCACGTCCTCCTAAGGACCCCTGCTTTTACTTAAAGACCCCCAATGCGTTTCCACCCCTTGGGACTGCGAAGAGAGCTTTTTAAAATGTATGCGTGTGCATGCGAATCCCAAAGCCAGGGGGAAGGACTTCTAGTGGTCAAGGGATGGTGGGTATTTATTCCATATGCCTTATGTATTCCCTTTGCCCATGCAAAAGAGTAGCAGAGAAGCATAACGAGCTATGAAATGTAAGCAAACCTATTCAAAGTCACTCCTGTCGTGTGAGCTTTTATTGCAACAGAGAAAAGTTTGGGCTCCTTTGCTGCAGAATTGCTATTCCCTCCTCCCCTCCCGCCCAGTCTTTTGTCAGCAAAGAGTATATACAGCCCTGCAAGGACCAGCAGTTTTGTTAAAGCTCCTTCACAGTTCTTTCCTCCAAAGTTTCCATGAATGTGGATGAAATATACTCAGAGTCGAGAGTGGATTTCATGCTCTTTATTCAGCTCATAGTGGTGAGGAGGAATGGAAGTTCCCCCAGAATGTCTGCTTTATATACATTATTTACACAGTGGGCCCCACGTGATTGGCTAATTCCGGAATTCTCCTGTAGGCCAATCAGGTTGCGGATTCACTTCCACCTGGAGCTGGATTGGGTGGCTCCTGTGGACCAATCAGACTGCTGCATTCTGGATCCTATTGTTGTAGGACCAATAAGACTGCTGAATTCTGGATCCTATTGTTCTAGGACCAATCAGACTGCTGCATTCTGAATCCTATTCAACTCGGTACATAACAGTGGAGAAGCAGTAGAATCATAGAATCAAGGAATTGTACGGCTGGAAGGCACCCTGAGAATCACCTAGTCCAACCCTTGCAGTGCAGGAATATGCAGCCACCCCATTCTCAGCACCCTGCTCTAACCACCTGAGCTATATTGTGTAGTTGTTGTCTGATCTGTAAGCCAGGAATGTCCACAATTGAAACCCTGCTTCCTCCATGAACTCGCTAGATAGCCTTTGGCAAAGTACCTTTCGCAAAGCTTTTCCTGCCACTTTGACCGTGTACACAACCATACTTTCAAATTAAAATCAATTAAAGCACACGGTTCCCTAAAAAAAAATTTGAAAATCCTGGAAACTGTAGTTTCCCCCTCTCAGAACTACAATTCGCACCACCCTCAGCAAATTGGGATTTTTTTTTGCAGGAGATTTTGTGTTTTAAGTGTATAGTGCGCACACCATCTGTTATCTCAAAACTTTCCCCCTACGGCAGGCACAAGGGAAAGGCACAAAGGCTGGGGCTTGCAGCATAGCTGTCAAGCGTCCCTTATTTGGCGGGACAGTCCCTTATTCCAGCTGCTGTCCCTTATTGATGATGTCCCTTAAATTTCCCGGGTTTCAAAGGAAGCAGCTCATCTCCCTCCCTCCCGGCCGGCCAGAGAGGAGGGAGGCTCCAACTGTGTTGCTTGGCTGTGTTGCTCACCCAGTAAGGAGACTAAGAACGACTGGATGCCTTGTGCCGATCAAATCGGCCGCATTGCCTGGGGACTCGCTTTTGCTCAGCGCTACCTAGCGGAGAGGTGACAGTGGTTTTCCCTGCTGCATCCCCTTTGCCAGGTTGCTGCACTATGGGAACGACCACTTGAGGCTTCGTTTGGCTGCTGGTTGACTAAAATCCCTTATTTTGGCTGCTGATCCCTTATTTTCAAATCTGTAAGTTGACAGCTATGGGTTGCAGAGCGGTGACATTTTGCATTCAGCCTTTTATTTTTCCTGCACCCTTGAGCTGTAGCCATCAATTCCCAGACAGCCTCTTGACTTTCCAAACTCCTCCTTGGTCCCTGGGCTGCCTGCCTCCTGTTTGCCACTCCCAGGTCCATCGAGCAGCAGTTGGATAGAGCCCCAGCGACCTTTGACCCTTGCAGCTATTCAGGCAGCCAGACCTTCGAGCACCAGGAGCGACAACACCTGGCCTTCCCAACCACCTGAGAAGCTGACAAAACAAGGTAACTTGTCGAGTTTAAATCTTCCGCAGGCTGCAGGCTCCACTCGCCCGCCCTCCAAACACACACGTGCAGCCATCCCAAAATTTGCTCCGGATACTCGACTTTTCTTTGGGGGAAACCCAAAGGAGATTTCTTAAACTCATCCCTGCAAGCTGGCATTTTAGAAAGAAATGCCATTTCTTTTAGGAGGAATTCCAAACTGCAGCTCCATTCAATCCATGCAGGTGTGGCTTATCATTATAGGTGTCAGAAGAGGAACCATTCTGTCGAATAAATGCCCCATTAGGTTTTCCCGAGGCCACCCAGCCAAATGGGCGAGGTATAAATAATAAATTGTTATTATTCTCAGAACCCTTTGTGGGACATCTGCCCCAAACTGATAACCTCACCCATTGCATCTTCATATTTGGTGATCCTTACAGTGGATCCTGTCTCTGCAAACAAAGGTGGGGGTTGTAACTTTCAATTGTTAGGTGGAAAATAGATTTCCAGAGAGGCACAATTTCTCATAATTGGAAGAGGTGAAAAAAGCAGCGCCTTCCGTCTTTCCCTACCCTACAAAGGTATGGGAGCTCCTTGTGCTCCATGTTACCTTCTCGATTACCTTTTATTGCACTCAGATCCAAGAGGGACCCATTGGAAAAGAAGTTCTTGCTCTTCTTTGACATTTCTTCCTGAGAGCTGCCCCGGATTTGTGTTAAAACACCCGGGGGTGTTTTAAGTTCCTTAAAATAAAACAAAAAGCAACCCTCAAGCTTTTGATCCCCACGTATGAGGGAAAGAGAGATGCTAGGGAAACTAATCAATTGCATGAACTTTCCAGCTTGGAAGACAAAAAGAACTTGTATGTTTTTGAATTAGTGCCGTTTCAGCCTTAGGTTTGCACATATTACTTTTCTCTGGTCTCTCCTGGTGTAATCATTTTTGGCTAAGGGTTTGGGGTTTGTATTTTCAGTGGGGGAGTGGTAGGGGCTGATCTCTCCCACCCACCCCGCCAAGTGGTTTGCGGTTTTCTGGCTGATCTATATTTGTTCGAAGCTACGAGATCATATACACCCTCACCGATTTGAAAACCAGTGTTTCTTCCCCAGGTCATGGAAGCAGTAGCTAATAAAATGGTCACCTGTGTTAAACTCTTTTCTGTGTTGCTCTCATCCTCCCGCCTCTGCATCTTTGCCACTGTGCATGTGTTGAACCACAAACCCAGTATCTGTGATTTATCACGTTGGGGGAGACAGAATGCAGGCATAGATGGACTTTTCTTTTTACTGCGCTCTGGCTTTCTCAGCTTTCATATCCTCTCAGCCAAGGCTATTCAAAGGAGTTATTTCATCCATTCAGCTACCAGTTATCAAGTGCAAAACAGCTAGTTTTTCTGCATGAGGCCTCAGTGCCTGGCTGCTGATTACGGCAAGTAAACTGTTGGGAAAGTGTTGGGTTTGAGCTGTGGTGGCCCATTCCGGTGTGTGCAAATTTGTATGTGTAAACTAGGTCATAAAGACGGGTGTTTACATGATGCATGTCTTATAATACAGGTTGTTGTTGCTTGGTTTTTGGTGACCTCGAGTCCAATTACCAACTCTCTGTGTGTGACCTACCTCACAGGGCTGTTGTGAGGATCAAATTTGGGGGGCACCTCCATGTTCACTGCCTTGAGCTCCTTAGAGGAAATATATATGAATATGAGGGGGGAAATAAAATAAATGTATATATAGCTTTGTGATTTGATGTGGCAGGTAGAGTGGGCATTCTGCAGAAAGGGTGAGCAGGGGAAGGTTTCAATACTCCCATTTGCTATGTTGCTCCCCGCCACCACTTTATACAAATTCAATGGAGTGTGCTGCATTCATAATAATAATAATAATAATAATTTATTATTTGTACCCCGCCCATCTAGCTGGGTTTCCCCAGTCACTCTGGGCAGCTTCCACAAAGACCAAAAATACACTAAGATGTCACACATTAAAAACTTCCCTGAATAGGGCTGCCTTAAGGTGTCTTCTGAATGTCAGGTAGTTGTTTATCTCTTTGACATCTGATGGGAGGGCGTTCCACAGGGCGGGTGCCACTACCGAGAACACCCTCTGCCTGGTTCCCTGTAGCTTTGCTTCTCGCAATGAGGGAACCGCCAGAAGGCCCTTGGCACTGGACCTCAGTGTCCGGGCAGAACGATGGGGGTGGAGACGCTCCTTCAGGTATACTGGGCCAAGGCCATTTAGGGCTTTAAAGATCAACACCAACACTTTGAATTGTGCTCGGAAACGTACTGGGAGCTAATGTAGGTCTTTCAAGACCGATGTTATGTGGTCTTGGTGGCCGCCCCCAGTCACCAGTCTAGCTGCCGCATTCTGGATTAGTTGTAGTTTCTGGGTCACCTTCAAAGGTAGCCCCATATAGAGCGCATTGCAGTAGTCCAAGCGGGAGATAACTAGAGCATGCACATGTTGTTTGCCCCTTACTTAGTCATTTTCCTACAAATCCTACAAAATCATGCAATGGGGGGAAAGGAGCTCTTCTCCTATAATATAACACATTAATTTTTGCAGCGGTGAAGTAAGTTTGTCAACAGTTCTGCATCAAAAGCTTCAGCAATGTTTTCCAAGTGACTCACAATCATACACGGATCAGCTGGTATTTGCCAACCAGCCATCTGCTCAATAATATTTTTTTAAAAGCTTCCCAAATGCTGTTACGGCTTGCTGGGTCCAAGTGATACGTATGAGGCCCGCATGAGCCGTATGCTCATTGTCGTGTAACTATCCTGTAAACAACTCAGAACAAATAAAGACCAGATTTAATTATGTAATCCGCCATGCAAGTCAGGATGAATGCCTTGTATCTGGTCTTAATTGAGTTTCCGTTCTGATTTGTTTGCTAGGTGGTTGTATGAAAATGAGCAGTTACCCTGATTCGCTTGTGGGTCATTTATGCCTCTTCCATTTGTTTGTTCCACACATAGGAGGCAATTTAGGGGCCAAAGTCCCTTCAGCACCCCCTAAAATATTTGAGGGGGCCAGAGTCCCCCCAAAGTTGATGGGCATTGCCATTCAAATGGTGTTTGTGTGTGTGACGCGTCAAGTGTTTGATTATATTGGGTGGGGCTTACCTGCCCTCCCCCATATTTTTATTCAAGTTAGCACCCCTGGTTCCACACTTTTCAATGCGTTTCCCAGTCACTTTCTTAACTGCAAAAAAAATAAGAATAAAGTTCATTTCTTTTTGGAAGTGGATTTGTTGCACCCGGGCAACAGAACCCTTTAATCCACATTAACTGCACGAACCTAAAGTTCTGGTCTGTGCTTGAATTTGTCACGCAAAACATAAGGCTGTGGTGAGGGTGACTAAGGGAGAATACTGTTCTTTCGTAATACAGTCGTACCTTGGAAGCCAAACGGAATCCGTTCTGAAAGTCCGTTCAACTTCTAAAACGTTCAGAAACCAAAGCGCGGCTTCTGATTGGCTGCAGGAAGCCCCTGCAGCCAATCAGAAGCCCCGGAAGCGCCGTCAGACATTCGGCATCCAAAAGAACGTTCGAAAACAGGAACCTTCACTTCTGGGTTTCGACCGTTTGGGAGCTGATTTGTTTGGGAGCCAAGGCGTTTGAGACCCAAGGTATAACTGTAATGTGACCCCCCCCTCCCCGACTCAATGTTGGCCTCCACCTGGAGAAGGAACCGGCAAGCCACTCCAGTATTTTGCCGAGAAAACTCCATGGACATAAAAAAAGGAGCAGCTTTGAGATGAATCTGAGAGTTTCCAAGGCATGCTCTGGTTCATGACGTCACGGAGAGTCGAACACAACTAAGACGACTAAACAACAACAATCAAGAGGCATATAAATTTTATGAAATTACGTAAGTAATACAGTGGTACCTCAGGTTAAGTACTTAATTCGTTCCGGAGGTCTGTTCTTAACCTGAAACTGTTATTAACCTGAAGCACCACTTTAGCTAATGGGGCCTCCTTCTGCCACTGCGCCACCGGAACACGATTTCTGTTCTCATCCTGAAGCAAAGTTCATATATATATATATATATATATATATATATATATACACACACACACTTCACATCTTATACAATCTTTTTGGACTTCCATCAGCACCTCTGGTGAGCCACCATTTTTATCATTTCTTCTGCATTTCTTAAATTCCTGTTGCCTTTAATTATCTTAACTCACAATCCACCTCTTTAACCATTTTTGCAATAATTCAAATAATTTACCTCACAAAACTTCTTGCAAACCTACAAACATAATCTGGTCATCACAATTACTTTTCAAATAGTCCGTAAATTTACACCAGTCTTCTGTGAATCTCTGGCCCTGCAGGTTTCGAATTCTTCTGGTTAGTTTACCCAATTCTGCATAGTCCATCAATTTCACCCTCCATTCTTCTTTTGTCGGTAATTCTTCTTGCTTCCATTTTTGTGCCAATAATATTGTTGCCGCCGTCATTGCATATAAAAACAACTTACAATCCTTTCTGTTTATATCATCTCCTACAATGCCAAGTAAAAATGCTTCTTGTTTTTTAATAAATGTATATTTCAACATTTTTTTATCTCATTATATATCATCTCCCAGAAGTTTTTCACCTTTTTACATTCCCACCACATATGATAAAATGTTCCCTCTTTTTCTTTGCATTTCCAACATTTATTGCGCAAAGTTCTTAACCTGAAGCACTATTTCTGGGTTAGCGGAGACTGTAACCTGAAGCGTATGTAACCTGAAGCGTATGTAACCTGAGGTACTACTGTAACTGAGACTGATGATTACAGCCCCAACATCAAACAGAAAGGGCTGAGAGAACTTCAGGTCCATCTTCATTGTCCATCTCTTAGTCTCCACATTGCAGGGATAGTCAGACAAAATTCTCAACATGGACTTGTTTTTCTGGTGTGGCATCCATCTCACCTAACCCAAACGCTGGTAGTTAATACTTTCCATGCTGAAATCTTGTATGGAGGCCATCTCAGGGGTTATTTTGGAGAACCCTG